TTTTTTCTCGTTTTTTTTTTTTTCTTCCACAACATCCACTTTGGAACCACCCAAAGACCCTTCTGTCGCATTTCTCTTCTTCTGCATCAATTTCTTCATCGGCGCTTGCGTGCAGTTAACCACCTTCTTGTCTGGTTCTTTTTGCGAACAAACAAACAAACAGACTTTATCTACCTTCCATTTCAACTCGTGGAGGCATACTAATTTAAACATCACCCATCTCGAGGATCACACGCCACACCTTCCCGTCCACTACCCGCGCCTCCATCAAACGCTATCAGAGACGAGGAGATCCATTGAATTAACCGTGCTCTTGGGAACAGACTCAAACGCAGACTCAGACTCTGACTCTCAGACTCCGTCTCAACAGACCCCGGTCTCGTCTCCAGGACCCCTCCACCTGACTATACTCTGCTCTGCACCAAATCAATCTCGCTCGTCTGCTGCCCGCCCCTCCACCAGTTCAAATCTCGTGCTATCGTCCGTCGGTAAACTCAGTCAACTTTGTTTCCGCCTTTTTTTTTTTCACTTGGCCAACGCGACGCATTCCTATCTCCCTGTATGCGCAAAATTTGACACCTTGACTTGGAGTGCCTCATTTTCAGTTTCTCAACCACTTGTTCAAGCTTACTGCCCAAGTCGTGCCCAAACAACAACCCAACGCAACCTTGGACAAGCTAGTCTTTTGCGCCTGTCATATCAGCATCCTCGCCCAGACCATACAGAGCTCCAAGAACAGGCACTGCCCCCGGTTTTATTTTTGCTTCAAGTGCCTCAAAACCGTCCTCGGCCGAATCATTTCGTCGCAAGGCCCTTGCGCCCCTCCACTTCTCAGTGTTTACAGCCAGCAATTCTGCAGTCTTTTCAAGACGTTGAATCTGCGTTGCTCCCCCCGTTAAATACCGAGGGCCTCTCTGAACCGCACCGTTGTGCAGGTTTGCTTCTCTTCTTCTCCGTTCAACTCACCTAACCGTTCATCAACGACACTCGAGTGTCGTTTCAACCCCCAGCAGCCATGGTTTCCTTCTCCTGTGAGGTACGTTTTGTGATATTTGAAATGCTTTGTCTTCTCTTCTATTGTTAGACTGGTCTGGCCTGCCCAAGCCTCGTCCATCCATTCCCTCGCCTGGCATAGTTATGCTGGTCTGGTATCCAAATGCTCCCGCCGCTCAAGCCATCCTCATACCCTATCCCCCTCCGTTTCCATATCTCATACACAATTGCTTTGCATTGCAATGCAATACCAAGCCCACCCTCCAGCCCAAACAAGTCCACCTCAATGCCCACCCCCCAAAACAACATCATACACGCCTGACATCACTCCTACCACACCATTCTTGTCACGAACTGCCTCCTTCAAGGGACACCCCTTCTTCCCCATGCCGATCTCCTGGCCCACCATAAACCGTCCTGCCATGCTCTCGCCTCCCCTGGCATCCCTCAAATATCCCAGTACACCACCCCGCCGCATCGAACGAGTCTCCATTGTCTTGCATCCCACTTATACCCTTCATGCCGTAGTCAACTTTATCAGCTTCGATCTTTGTTATACTAACCCAACTTTCCTTCATATAGAACTGCGGCGACGTTCTCACCAAGAAGAAACTTGACCCTCACCGCAACCGTTGTCGCGGCGCTACCTTCACCTGCATTGACTGTATGGTGTATTTCCCTGGCGTCCAGTACCGATCTCATACCGTACGTACTACTCGACTGGCTCGAGGGCCATAGCTTCCCTCGACTCATAGCCCCTGACTCTGTGTAATCATCTGACATCATATAGAGTTGCATGACCGAGGACCAAAAGTATCAGGGCGCCCTTTATAAAGACAAGAAGAACAAGAAACAGAAACACACCCATACCCACGATAATCAGCAACACTACACTCAAGATCAAGCAATGGCAGCCGTTCAAACCCCCATCAACCACACCGCAACCATGAACCACTACGCCTATGTCGAGGATGCTCCCGAGGATCAGTTCGGCTGGGCCGAGTACGAAGAGAGCAGCGATGATGAGTCTCCCAACGGCCCTCCACCAGAGGCTCCTACGCCCCCTTCTGCTGCCCCCGAACCCCATGTGGACGTCTTTGAATTCCTCGTTGGAACTGGCCAGACACCCAATGCCTCCAACATGAACATCGGAGAGCAGGACTTGCGTGAAGATGAGCCAGGAACCTCTCTGGTACGATACGAGCCCAAGGAGAAGCAGGACGACTATGCCTACATGGATGATGATGAACCTCTTGTCGAATATGGAAGCGGACCCGTCCCTGCTGCCGAATTCGTCACACCAGCACCGAAATCCGAGAGACGCAAGAGCCGCAGCAGCACTGAGAAGAAAGACAAGAAGCGCAAGCGACTCCATGTTGATATTCCTAGCGACCAGGTCATGACCGACGCCCCTCCCGTTCTGCACTCAGGACTGACTGGCGGTATCAACCGCATGATGCGCCCTGTCTTCCCTCCTTCCCCTGACTACTCCGGTGGTGACATGCCCGACATCTCTCCCGCCAGCCCTCTGAAGAAGTCGAAGCACTCTAAACACTCTAAGCATTCCAAGAGTGCCACTGCTGGTCACAGTATCTTCGGCATGATTGCTGGCAGCAAGTCAAAGTCCAAGAGCAAGAGCAAGAGCAGCAAGTCATCATCATCGAAGTCGAAGAAGAGCTCCTCCTCCTCCTCCAAGAAGTCTCACAAGGACAAGAAGCCCCAGCAGCTCATTGAATATCGCCCCCAGAGCAAGGATGGCAAGACCGAGCCCAACGAAGGCCAAGTCGTTCTCTACAAGCCCCGTGCCGATGTCTTTCTTAGCTTTGTCGACAAGGGTCCCGAAAGCGAGAAGGGCGTCAGCTTGAACAGAGTTCTCAAGCGCTTCCACCGAGAGCGCGAGGCTAATGGCAGCGAGCTCGGCAAGGGCAAGGAAGAGAAGGAACTCTGGAGATCACTCCGACTCCGACAGAACGAGCAGGGCGAGATTGTCCTGTTCTCTGTCGAGTAAACTTGGACTCAGTTCCAACAAAACCAAATAAAGTAAAAAGAGAAAAGCAAAACAAAAACAAAACAACGACAACTACTACAGCTGGACATTGCGCCGAAGAATCGGACAGACACCGGACATGGGATCAAGGAGTTATGAGTTTGCGGATGCATTGAAGCAACGTTTTTCACGATACCTTTATGGGACAAGCTTTCATTCTGTGTACAAGTTTTTACGGGACAGATTTGATCGGAGGGGTTCAGCTAGCCCGTCAGGTGTGTATCTGACGGTTGCGAGTGATGGGCCCCTGGATTCGATCGGTAATTGTGTATAAGTATGTATACAAAGGAGTGATTGGGTGGGCGATCCTTTTTGCTTGATGCAAGGATAGGCCCTTTTTCTTGGTGTCGAGATTTTTCATTCTTTCAAGACTATGTTTTGGGAAGCCGAATGGCAGATAATGGGCGGTTGATGCATGCGGATCGGTTTGGAAAGGATACCACGGGAGGTTTGGAGCATTTTTATATAGCGGCATCACAGCTGCTCTGATGATATTGAAACATCTGGTTTTAAGATGTAATTGAGCATATTATATTTGTTCATCTGAATTATACCTCTTGAAATAAATCTTAAGTTAAATTACATTACTCGCAGCGGAAGAATGTGTTGAGCCATGGCTTCCCGACGGCATAACGGACATTCAGGTTTCTCTCTCACCCAATCACCTATGCACTCCCAGCAAAAGACGTGACCACATTGTGTCGCTGAGGGATCTCTCATCTCTTCTAGGCAGAGCGTGCACTTTCTCTGTTGTCCACCCTTGATGTAGCCCATGGTTTTCTCATCAGTTAATTGAAGACGTGGCACAGCTGCCGCTGGTGTATGTGTAGCAGCAAAAATGTCAACCTTGGTTTTGGAGCCTGGGGCGCCTGTAGGCAATAACAAGTTGTTGTCCTCGTTGTAAGCACCATCATGGTTGAGGGAGATGTCGGAAGCTCCGAAACCGGCACGTTCGCGAGCGGCCGATTCGGTAATGGTAGATCGAATGTGTGCATAACCCTGAACTGCAAGCTGGACCACTAACAGTACACCAAGTAGCTCGTATCCTGCGCGGTCGGGCGTATCGGGAACGGTGCGTGTAAAGACATATCGCAGGGAAAGGAGTCGCTTAGACAATTGGTAATATGTTCCGCTAAAGTAGAAAAGGGCCAGAATGACGGCTTGGAAGGGAGCGCCTGACGTAAAGGAGCTTAGATGCTGTTCCAGGTACGACCATATGCGCGCCTCACGCCCTGTAGATTGGCCATCCCTTTTGCGCAGGGACTCCAGCCGACGCTGCAGAAGCTTGCGAACTCGGGCGCGCAAGCCAGGTAGTATCCGGGCGGCGATGTAGGGGAGGAGGATGCTGGCGGCCACGTAGCCAGCGCGACGGTCAATGGCGGGTAGTTTTCCGTCGCGCGCATCGATCTGCACGAGATCGCAGTACTCCTCGCCGAGAGTGCGGTTGCCGGGGATCGTGGTGAGGGCGAAATATGCGAGGGCTGCGAGGGTCTGAATTTCCGGGGCGCGGGCATGGGTTAGGCGGGCACCACGAAGGCGACGATGCAGGTCGCTGAGGATCTGGGCGAGATGGCCGGTGAAGTATGCATCCTTTTGGTGAGAGCGGATGATATCAGGGGCGGTGGCGAAAGGGTATGGCGATGATGATGTTGTTGTCGAGGACATATTGGCGGAGATCGCGAGAGTGCGCGATGCGCAAATTATTATGGATGGGGTGATCGAATATGGTTTGATGTATTGAGGGTATTGGTCACATCCAGGTTCGAGAATTCTTTGGAGTTGATGATATTTTGGTGATGATAAGAAGATCAAGTTGGATTAGCGGTTGGTGTTGAAGCGCCGAATGAATGAACCTCGGTCGACATATGGATATCAAAAGCCCCCCAGGTTCAGAGCTCTACGCGCTAAAGACCTTGGGTCGGTCTTCGGCAACCTCCCCGCGTTTTCCGTCTCCCGTTTCCATGTGAATGAATCCGTTTGATTTCCTTTTTGGGAAAACTGTCAACATATTTCCAAACCCTCAGAATTGAATTGCACCGAATATCGGATGTCAACAGAACTATGTCAGATTATTCACAAACGTCACTATGCATGTTTCTGTGTTGAAAACCTGAGTTGGAAGAGAAATGACTCCACGTATGCACAATGAAAAACTTGGCCTGCAGAGTGACACATGTAGAAATTGAGGCCTGCGGGAGTTACATAGTACGCCAATCATGTCACTGTACATATCTTGTGGTTGAAATGGACTTTTCTATGGGCTTATATTTTGTTATTTCTATGTCTCTGTCTTCTTCTTACTAAGCCTGTGAGGTCTTTGGTCAGTGCGATACCACGGTCGATGTCCAAAATATCACGCTCAGAGTACTCTCCATCATTCCTATAATCAGATATTTTTCTGTGCAGATCAGTGTTGTCAAAGAAGCACTGAGGGTCAGACCAATGAAACATCATGTTCTAGTCAAGATATACGTGATATCAAAGGGATACATTGTACTCTACACCAGTCGTCGTTAGTCTCTGAACCAATCATCACCAGGGTCCAGATGTCTATGAGATGATTACCAAACACGGGTCATGTTATTGAAAGGGGTTGTATACATCATCTCAAGGGTTACAATACAGTAGTCAAGGTGGCGAGACCTTTCAGAACAGCCGATCTTTATGCAGCAAACTTGATCAGTTTGTACGACATGCAACAACGTGTGAGACATCTATATAGTTCTTCGCTAGCATTACAGCCAAATATGCAGATCTATCCGTCCATCTAATGTCGGGTGTCTTCATTATCGGGGTTCTAGAGGCGGCTGATTAAAGTCAAACGGCGCCATCACACCTTGTTCAGAGCCTTGAAGCTGCATACTCAAAAACTCATCCGTCACAAGCGTGCCAAGCTCCTCACCCCACTGAGCCATGAGCTCTGCCGTAACGTTATGATCCAATTCTAGGCCGTTCATAAGATCAGGTCCAATCAGGGGGTCCTCGGGAGGCATCACGACCTGTGCGTTACGTGCCCGTACAACATAGTCTTTGATTTCGCTCATACATGGCCATGTGTGCTGTACCTCCTCCATTGCTTCTATGACGGTGGAAAGGGATCGGGCAATGTCTGAGTCTTCCCATGATGCGCCTTGGAAGAACCTCTTCATCATGATGGTGCCTGCTGCGGTGGATAGGGTTTGCACAAAGTCAAGGGGTAGTGAGCGGAAGCGATAATGTCGTGAGTATGTTCGCATCAAACGAAGAATAGCTTGTAGAGACTCGTAACAGATCTCGACATCTTCACTCTCGGCGATGCCCGGTTTTTCGTATAGATGTGACGGTGGTCGGTGTAAGATAATCATGATTGTATGGAAAAACATGCTATGGCATATTAGGACAACGGATCTCACCCTCTGATGGAAAACTTACTGCATACGGAGCACAGATGGTTGCACTATACCCACGGTCCATTGGTTCCAGTGAAGAGTTCCAGGCAGACTCGACAGCCATTTCGTAAGGGACACATGTATTTGTCGCGATCTAGCAGCAGCCACGGTCGCATCCACGTTACCTCGACGGTTCTCAAACAGATCTGTAATCATCAGATGGGCAATCTTGCACAACTCTGCCTGATAGATGAAAGCGCCTACAAGAGCGACTCCATCTTCAAACTCTGTTGCAGAAGCCCCTTTACAGATATATGTGTCGAGCAGACCTTCCCAGTCGGGCGGATATTGCAGTCTTATCGTGTTGCGAACGTCTGACTCGCTAGGATGTAGAGCTGGTGGTCTTCCAAAATAGAGACTTAGTTGTTTGTCGGCAATAAAGATGGCCCAGTAGACTCTTCTTAGAATCTCTGTGTCACGGTTTGAAGTTCCTTCGCTTGAAGCATCCCAATTGTTCGGGTCAAGGTGAAGACCCATTTCGTGCGCAAGACGAAAGGCCATACCGGCAAACAGCCAGCCCTTCGAGGTATGACCTGCACCGATCTCACGATATCCCAGAAGAGCCAATGCCTGGAGCGTGGTAAGTTCTGGGCTGTCGAGGTCAGCATAGATAAGTTGTTGAGCTTGGTGGGCGAAGATGTCGGATACTGAGCGAAAGTCGTCAAGCTGCATGGCACCCAGGGAACAGATGGCGAATAGCAGCGCATCAGAGTAGTATCTCCCTGACCCCACGTCGTAGTCTCGCAAGAAGTATTCTCTGTATATGAGCAGATGGAACTGATACTGGTACTGGAAATAAGCAGCCATGCAGGCCTGCGATGTCTCGTCATGCGGTGCATATACAAAGTTGGTCTCGCGCGGGCTACTATTACTGCTCATCTCTGGCATACCACCCGTCATCATTACAGGGGTAGAATTGGATTCAATCTGAGGACTCAAGTCATCTGGCGATAACGAGACTTCCTGAGAAAGATGGATGTGAAAGGCGCTGGTACCTCCAAAGAATTGCGTGGCATGGCTTGACCGCGGTCGTCTCAGCTGCCCGGAGCGTACTTGAGCAGCTACGACTTTAGGATCAGTGTTTGATTTTGCGTGGTCTGTCGTCGGTTTCTGTGACATGTCTAGTGAGGCTGGTGGTGAGAGGGCGATTTCAGATAGCATTTCGTCTCTTTCAGCGCTATCAGCTACGGCGAGCTTGCGGATGAGGAGCTCGAGAGAAGCCACTTGGCCCTCTAGAGCTTGAACATAGCCTTTCGATATTGGTCTATACGGGATTAATAAGAGTGGTTTGTAGGGCGCAGAGTCATATCACACCGTTGCTTCTCCCCGCTGCCGCTGAGGATGCATTCTGTGCCAGCCTTGACACAGCGTGAACAGGGTCGCTTGCGGTCACATTTGATCTGATAAAATGTCAGTTTACTATATGCAGGTAATCAGGGGTCAGGAGATGCGAAGATGCACCTTGCGGCGGCGACATCGCTCACAGCTGTAGTAATCATTCGAGTCAGCATTCATAGGTATTGTACTTATGAGGGGAAGTAAGACTCACGATATCTTGATGGACTCGCCCATTGGCGTTTCCTCCATGATGGAATATACGAGGTTCCCCTCTATATGTAGTTGATAATTTGAGTAATATTTCCGTTCGTTGAGAGACAATTCTTGGTTGACATAAATAACTGAGTAGGCGATGAAAGTGGTTCGTTGTAACGCCAAGGAAAATACCTATGCTCTGCTCATGCTATGAGGCTTGCCACTTGACCATATTTGGCTACTTACTGTACTATACAGTAATCATCAAGAGTACTACTGGTATCATTACATCAATATAAACAGTTTAAACAACAACTTGATTTGGAATCTCAATACTAACTAGTATATAACTTTTGAATAATTGTGGTTTGGTCATTCAGTCCAATCTGGATCTCTAAAGACACAAGGCGTTTAGGGTAGCCTGAATCCACATCGTACGATCACATCAATTGAGTTCTCAGGCAACGAGTTGTACCTGGACAAATCGCCGGTCATACTCACTTCGGGTGCCTTGCAAGTAGCCTCTTGGTTCTCAAGTCGCTCATCCTGATCAAGAAATCAACTGCAGGGGCAACACACATCACTGCCACTGGGAAGCAACTTCGAGGCACGGTTTGAAGTTGTTGGTCATCAATTAAAAGTCACAGCGGCTCAATAACTGGCTCACTCAATCATTACCTACTCGTTTAATCTCCGGTGTTCCGTCTTACTGCAGCATAGCCGCCAACCTCTTTGACATGATGGCTACGGCTACAGTAAGCAAGAATATCATCAAGCACGTCACGGTACATCTCGCTTATTCAAGGTTATTTGGATAAGTTGACAACGACAGAGACGAGATGAAGCTATGCAAAACGCAATCTGTCAGTCATGGCATGGACCATCAAGAGTAACACAGCATACATCTGTGCTTTTAGCTCTGGATCCACAGCTAAAGGCAAGTCCGAAAAGAGATACCAGTGCGTTCACAGTTGAACTTCAAACATGATCTGTTTATCTGCTTATCTTGCTTGGGACAACCAGGAACCTTTGAGTGACAACGTCGACAGAGCTGAAAGAGTAGCGAGTCTTGGCGTTGGAAGTTGGAAGCAGTGAGGTCAAAGATTGGGGGGACACGAGGAGATGATTCTTTATCTCTTTGTTTCTTGCGGATACTCTATACAGCAATGAATATGATATTCACATCATACATAGTACATCATGCATCGTCTTTCAACTTTGTCCTCCAGATTTCTGTTCGAGTTAAGTAAACGAAAACCAGAATGTGAGGCTCTCTCGGCTTTAGGAGATACCCGAAGAGTGATCGCTTACACAATGCCAAGAGACTTGTCTTCTGCCCTACGCCGTAATCTGCAACCTCCGACTCTCTCTTCGCATGACCTGAAGACGAAATCCTTGTTAGTCAGAGAGGTTAAAGGGTCCAGGTCTTGAGGGTGCTGGGTTCCTACAGTAGCGTCGATATCTGACCAATCACATGTAGTGAGTAGCCCCTGTTCCTGCACCTGCGCCTGTGGCTCAGTGGCTGCATCGCCAACGGTTCCTTGATACCGCCCGAGGATTCATTGCTGTAATCGCTAATTCAATCTGATCGAGTGCCTGTTCAACTCACTGCGACTCTGCGTTGGTAGCTAAGCTGCTCGGTCTTTCTTTCAGCACAGCCTTTTTCGTCTCTGACCAACCAATAATGTCTCAACATCAGGAGTAAGAACCCAGTCATTAACCGAATGGAACGGCCACATCTTGGCTGCAGCCAAAGATTCTACTTATTCCTTCGCCCTAACCGCCCGCCAAATCACAAGTACCCTTGGTTTCCCATGCACGGGTGTGGCGGCCGACTAAACAAAGAGCTAAAGAGAGGGAGACAGGGATATGGATGGACCAACTAACGGTTTTCTTTAAACACGAAAGACATGATGACCCGAAAAAGTCTTGGTATCTGCCCGTATCTCACATTGCATTGCAGATGGACTGACTGTAAAATATGGACCAGTCCCTCTCTTTCTTCCATTTGTTCGGGTTCCGCTCCCATGAGTTTACCTTATATTCTTGACTTGTTCCCATCGTTTTAACCTGATACGTCCAGTGTTAGATTAAATCTCTTGGGTCTTGGGTCTTGGGTCTTGGTTCCTTGTGAATATCCACATATAACACTCTGTCAGAGACACTCTCCTGTCTTTTGTTAGACATATATTTCAGAGTCATAATGACAGCTGCTCCGAAGAGAACGGATGCCGCCTCCGAAGAAGACTCTGTACACACATCCAACAACTCTCATAACACGCCAAATGAGACAGTACCGACGAAAAAGCCTAGTCGCAAGAAATGGTTCATAATTGGAGGCATCGTGATTTTGGTCGTGTTGGTGTTGAGTTTAACATTGGGATTATACTATGGCCTCAACAAGGTGAGTGTTTCTTATTTATCAGCCTCTAATCCCATACCTCACGTTGTTTATTTTTACCCCGGTCTTGGCAAAGTCTTTGATTCGAAACGCGACTAAAGTGTTTTCTCAAAGGAGCACAACGTCGTTCATGATAATGACAAAGATACCGCCGATGATACCCCCTACCCACCACCCAACGAGACCCCAGACAACAACCCTAATGACAATAATGATGATGATGATGATGATGATGATGATGATGATGATGATGATGATGATGATGATGATGATGATGATGATGGACATGCTGATAACAATAATAAGAACAAGAACAAGAACAGCAGCGATGATGAATCGACGGAAAAGAAACAAGGACCCTTTGTCGACTTGGGTTACTCTCAATATGAAGGCAATGTTCTCTCCAGCGATATTCACGAATATCTCGGTATTCGCTATGCCAAGTCCCCTTCAAATGATCTACGCTGGAAAGCACCTGTCAAGCCAGACTCTACAACTGGAACCTTGAAGGCTCAAACGGTACTATCGCCCTTGTTTCTTATACACGCAGCTGCTTACTCTTCCCTAGTACGCCCCCTTCTGTCCAGGAGTCAACGACCGTCTCAGCTCAAACATCGACGAAGACTGTCTTTTCGTCAACCTCTGGGCCCCAGCAAACGCAACTTCAGACTCGAAGCTCCCTGTCATGGTCTTCTTCCAATCCGGCGGCTACATCAGAAATGCGTCTCCCAACATCAACGGCACTGGCCTCGTCACTGCTTCAAACAACAGCATCATTTATGTCAACTTCAACTACCGCGTCGGCTTGTTCGGTTTCTTGGCTGGGAAGGAGATTCAGGATGATGGTGATCTTAACGCGGGTTTGCTGGATCAGAGATTCTTGTTGAAATGGATCCAGGAGCATATCCAGGAGTTTGGAGGCGATCCCGAGCATGTCATTCTTCACGGTGAATCTGCTGGAGCAGGATCAGTGGCTCTTCAGCTCGTTGCCTACGCGGGTAAAGATGAGGGTCTTTTCGCAGGTGCTATCGCCGAGTCGGTCTTCATGCCTGGTCTTCCGGAACCAGCTGACCTGCAGTACCAATTTGACCGAGTCGTCAACGCAACTGACTGCTCCGAGGAAGACGACACGATAGCTTGTCTCCGAAAAATGGACTCAGCAGATCTCCAAGCTCAAAACATCAAGGCCCCTTTCGATGGACGTGACTACCGATCCTACTTTTACTGGGCACCCACTACCGATGGAGACATGTTCCCAGACTTTCCCTCCAAGCTATATGCGAAGGGCGACTTTGTCAAGGTGCCACTACTCACTGGTTCTTGTTCAGATGGTAAGCCTCCAAATGTCTATATGTATCTGAACTACGGAATACTGACTCAATATCCAGAGGGGTCCAACTACGCCGTCAACGCAGGCAGCTCAGCCCAATTCATCCGCTACATGCAAAACGAATACCCCTATCTCACAACCAACGACACCGAAACCATTCTAGATCTCTACCCCAAAGAACCTCAGCTCCCAAAGCACGACATCTGGTTCCCTTCAGCTTCTCGCGCCTATTCCGAAGTAACCTTTGTCTGCCCAACCAACAATATGCTCGACGCCTACGCCGAGCACGCCGATCCCAAGTCGCTCTGGTCTTACCGCTATAACGTGCAGATCACAGAGTTCATCGAGGACGGTCTTGGTGTTCCTCACGTCGCAAACGCACCCGCAGTCTTTGGCCCCGACATGACTTCTGCTAAAGCTGGACCCAGCTACCGTTCTTACAACGCTCCCATGATACCCATAGTGCAAAGGTACTGGATCAGCTTTGTCCGAAACCTCGACCCCAATACGGATCGTCACGAGGACGCTCCTACATGGGAGACCTGGGGAACCGATCAGGACCGGCTGGTGTTCGAACTGAACAACAACACCATGGAGAGTGTTGACCAGGGTCAGCGGGAACGCTGCCAGGCCTGGCTCGATATGAGTGGTTCAACCAAGCAATAATGATGTTTACGATCTTACAAGCATGATTCACAAGCGTTCGTCACGGTACTCTATTTGATACCCATGTTATATAGATACGAGATATAATAGAAACATATGCCTTTATTCTCTATTTAGTTTGCGCCAAAAGACCCGAAACTAAAACTGATTCTACATCTCACTGATAGCGCCACTTCTCTTACGAAGCTGTCTAACAGAGAGCCCAATTCTGTTGTAGCAAACGTGAAGTAGTAAAATGCGTCATCGCCTTGATCAGCCCCTAAAATACTTGCGCCATTTGCCATTTTCAAAACCAGAACTCTTGTTCATCTTTCCTGATCAGTGTCTTGCCAAGCCATCGCTCACTCACCAGCTATCGGCTTCATCTTTTGGTTCCCTCTCATGAGCCCCAGCAATGTACGCTTCATTTCCGATGCCCAGCGCCTTACTCGCCGTGCCTTCGTTCGTAGTCGTTGTGATAGCACCACCGTGATCTCGCTGGCCGCCAAGGTAGACTCATCTGAACTCTCAGAGACGAAGTCGGAACGCAATGTTGCCGGATGGTCTTCAAAAGTATTGGGCGTAGCCCTTGGGTTCCTCCCTTTTGCTTTTGTCGTACTCGTGGGCTGAGGATTGGACGTCTTGTGCCCTAAGGGGTTTGGTCTGTTTATGCTGGCAGAGTCTCCCTGTCTATCGAATGGATATAGCTTACTTTCTAACCTTGATTGAGATACTGGCTCAGTCATTACAATCTCTTGAGCTGAGGGCGGATACGGAATGTCGAACTGGTCCGATACCTGCGTCGAATGGCCTCGTGTAGTACCTTCATCAATGTTGGAAAGGCGTTTGTCAGCACCGTGTTGAGTTAGTTGTTCCTCAAGGCTGGACCCGTCGGGAGATACTTCTCGCGGAGGCATGTCTCTCAATTCCGAGGTTGAGTTGTACTGCCGAGGCCCGTCATTGCGTACTTGGGGATCATTAGGACCCATTAGCTTGCTGCTCATACGGTTGCGAGATACTTTGAGCTTAAGTTTGGGCTTAACGGGGCTGCTCGAGCTTCTTCCTGGATTGCCAGGAGACTCGGAAACCCATCTGTTGTGAAGCCCACTTGATTGAGACGACTTCACTCGAACCTTGAATCGTGAATGATTTAACGGAGTTTGAGTCTGAATCTGTTGAAGGGACGAGGTCCTGGAACTGCTGCCAAAAAACACCGGTTCTGCGAAAAGCTCGCTGGTACCACTTGCTGGCTGGAGAGCCATTCGCGACTTAGTGAGGGCTTTAGTATCTGTAGAAGGAACCTCGCAAGGCTCGGAAACGTCATATTGTGCCTCAAATGGCAGTGGTGGCAACGCCTTCATTAATTGAGGTATGCTGTTCGTCACCCTCAGCTGATGTGTAGGTGATATCGGGTTGGGCGCCAAAATCTTTGCACTTGCCGTTGCCTGTACGTTCTGTTCGGCTTCACATTGTTTATTCCCATCGTCCTGGGCCGCAGCATGTATATCGGCATTCCGACGATTATGGCCCATATAAGGTGGCACATTGATTACCGCGTCTTCTTCTTTTTCCAGTGACGTTGTTTTCTCGAGCCATGGAGTCAGCATCTCTTTAGAGATATGAGAAATATGCTGAGCAAATGGATTGTCCACCGGGGCTTTATCATCCCCCGGGCTACCCCAATACCAATCATCTTCACTTGAGTCGTTTGGTTGAGTTGTCGAGATACAACCAGTTGAGGTTGAAGTCGCAAGGTCGTCTTTTTTGACCAATTCCGCCCGAGACTTTGTAATCTTGTCTCGCGTGGCGTAATGGCGTAGATTATTCGACCTCTCGTAAGACTCCGGGTGAGCTGGAAACCCAATATCTCGATTATCTGTCTGCTTCTGCTAAAAGTTGCTAGACTCTAGCTGATTCATCGATGACTGAGTTTGCACCGGTGGCGTAGATGAAGTATATCTCCTTTTCGCGGGGATTGATATTTGCTGGATATCAGTGCTACCATTGAGTTCACCAATAAGTTGCCGATGAACACTGGATATCGACAGATTGGTATAACTCTTTCTCGAAGCTGACTTGATCTTGCTGTTTTTTCGCGAAAAAGAAATTGCGTTTTCGTCTACATACCAGTCAGGACCAGTCAGCCGCTCATGGTTCTTTCTATCCTTGCCTTGGTAGCCAGTGTCTATACTTGCATCCTTCATGGCATGGTCCCTGAATAAGTCGAGTGATGTTCCTTGAGGAGGATAAGCGACAGGCCCATGTTCGACTTTGCCTGCAATTCCCCTCTCAAATTCTTCGGTGTAGTCGTAGTAAAATGAACATGGAGACTGTATAGGCTGTTTAAGCCCACCTGGCGATTTCCCCTGATACATTTCTACGATAGATGTTAAGCTGGCCGAACGAGCACTCTGGTCTCCTGCAACGAATTGGCGATATGTAGATGTGTATGGCGATTGTACTATGTCACCCGAGGCGCCTGGGCTGTTTACCCCTGATCCGCAATAAGGCGCTAACGATGAACGCATGGGTAATGAAGACGTGGATTTACTGAAATCGGGCCTCAGGGACAAAGGAGGATATCGACGATATGTGCGGTGACCTCTCATGTACGATCCAGAAGTTGTGCGCTGTGGAAGCGTAAGCTAGGTATCCATGAGAGACATAGAAACGAAGATACTAACATGCCCAGACCTGTCAATCTCAATCATCCTCTTGTAGTCAATGAGGCCGTCATCTGTCACTGCTGGAGAAGAAGGCCGGACTCCGGGTCGTTTCAGACGTGCTGGATATGGAAAAGGCGAGCGAGGACGCTGAAGACCGTTGTAGCTCCTTTGGCTGTTGAAGGTTCCAGAAGATTTGTAGGACGGAACTCGCAATGAACTGCATGTCGTTAAAGAATGTGAGCGCTGGCCCTCAGAGGCTGGGGAGTAAGATCTGGAATAAGTGACCTGCGGACCACCATATAATGAAAGAATTTCAGAAGTGGGATCTCGATGAGAGGGTAGCGATTTGTGGAAATCTCTTGTGTCACTGTCGTTCGAGTCGTAATATCGATTCCGAGCATTCCGTCTCTTTCTTCTATGGCCCTCCTTTGAGCGTGAAGGGTCATGGCGTGGGTTCGGAGATGGTATGCTGATAGAATAGATACCCAAGTCACCCGTCTCGGTGGTTGTTTTCAGCATGCTCTCGAGAGGTCCAGAAGAGCGGAGAAGGAGGGAAGTGTCATTCAAGCTCTTGAAGGGCAGACGCGGTTGAGATGGAGATCGTCGTCTTGAGGCATTGGAAATGCCGTCTCGTGTATCATGAGTGCTTTGAAGCGAAGATTGGCTGACTGATCTGTGTCTGGAACTGTTGAGATCCATGGCAGCCGATTAACAAGTTGATGATAGATGAGAACGATAAGATAGCACAATGAATATTTGACAAGTGACCAAGAACACCAAGAAGGCTGAAGTAGGCGTTTACGAGTCAAAGATAGAAGTCACAAGTCAATTGTAGACGCATTCTGAAGAGAATGATTAATGGTAGATGAAGAAACACAGAAGTTGAGACTACCTATTCGATAAGTCAGGAAGGAAGAATGTACGAGACGCCCGCCTTCTCATGGCAGGAGCGTAGGTCGGGCCTTGCTTTGAAGCTACCTGCCTACCTACCTACCTATCTTGAACTTGAGCATCCCTCATGAGATTCAATTAAAGCTAACAAAACTTTTAGGATTTATCAAGATATAAAAACATATCATGAGGGTCGCCCAAGCTGGTTCTGTTGGTCAGTGCCTTCTTCATGTATTATAATTCGGGACTGGGTGGCTACTCTTGCATGGCATACCTATCCTGATTTATTTCCATGCAGGGTTGGTCTAAGGAAGGAACAACGGTGCTAAAACCGACACTCGGGTTTAAATGAAAACTCAGTTTAGCAGGTACTAATGATAGCACAGAAGATGAAATAATCTAGGTAGCTGCCTCATTTGTACTTTCCCGAGCCTTTAATTACCTAGACGTCTTGTATCCGTAATGAGGTATCATTCTGTATTCTAGACACAGATGCCAAGCTCTGCTAATAAATCCCAGTCAGTTTATTGACAATCTCGAAAGCATTACATCCGTTGTAGCTGCCTGACATATAAGTCAAATATCAGATAATTGGTGGGTTTGGATCGGAAGAACAAGACCTTCCACGTGACGAATGTTCTCTAGCGCCGGACGAAGCCATCACCAATTCCTCCATGTACGAGATGATAGACCCACCTTACCGAGGGCCGAACGCAAGACGGCGCAAGGATCGACGAGATTCTTACCATCCGTGTGTAGATCAAATGAAATTCTAGATTGAATCGACATTACTGTGCACTATAATACCTACCAAACACATTTCGCTATCCAAGATGGCTAATATAAACTTTTGGCTGGATTTAAATAAAGAATACAATACATACATACGTAAACTCATCAATCGACGTGAGTGGCGCCCCTCTTTTTCGTAAATAGAATTATTTGGCGTTAAGATTTATGCCACCATGCACATTGACACGAATATCGGTACGTCTTCCCACCAACTTGTTACGAATAGAGTCAGGTTTGCCACCTCACTGTGTCTGTGCGATAAACTAAGTCAACTAACACATCCAGTTCCCCCTTCACCGCTGATAAGGGCTCACGTGCATTGCAACTTCTGTAATTGTACGCTTGTCACGAGTTTCTATTAATGTCATGCGAGTTTTCTTGCAGATTAAACTATAAGCTAAAGCATAAACGCGAGATAAGGTCAATTACGCTCTTCCGAATCATCTCCGTTAATTATTGGACCTGTAATATGAACGAGGTCCAGACTTCATTTCATGCCGTTGCCCTTGTAAAACAACCATGATGGTTGTGTAGCGTGACTCACTACCACTTATCAGACATATCCAGAACCCTCAAGTGCTTCCTCAACGCCCTCGGCAAGGGGACCTGGACCGGGACTGCAACAACGGGACCGGAACCCCGTACCGAAAACGGGCTGCCGCATACAGACTAAGCCAAAACATCTGACTCGGCAACAGGGTTAAATTAGCATAACATGGGGCCGGTGGCTCTTGTCGAAGTGTTTCCCACCAAAAGCGTCAACTCGATGCCCAGATGTGGCTTACCCTGGGCCACCCTTCGAGATTTTCCCTCTCTGTAGGCGACCTAGCCTGCAAATCCTGGCAATGTCTGCCTCCCAACTGGCCACCGTATTACCCCCGCAGTCCGTGCAGCCCACTTGGTAGGTTCCACGATTGCTTGTCCAAGCCTAGTCAGGGGTCTATATCGCACACTTGCAGCGCCATCTCTTGTTCAAGCTTGAACTAAGCTCGGAGGCACATGTTCAACGGGTCTCTGAATTTGAACAAAAGGGAACCCTTACCCTCTTGCCTTGCTCTGGAAAGTGAAAGTCAACAAACCATTGGCATCAAGCGGGTAGCTTCGTTCAGCTTTCTGCTTAGATACCTTTGATATTCATTCGATCCTATCGCCAACCTCGGATCGTATTGGCAACACTCTGTAACTTGTCTCAATATCGATCAACATCTTTGATTCAATACCAACAACACATTCAGCGCTGAAACCAGTTTGTCTCGCCCCCAATGACAGACCGAAGGCCGGCCCTCACCCTCCCTCTTCCGGATCGGGAACCATGTGACCCTCAACGACCTCAGTCTTCACTCCAAAGCCCACCAATTCGCAGCCCTCGATTTCATGAAGACTTCGATGCACCATTCTCAGAGGACATTATGAACGCTTCCAGGACAACTCTCGCCACCGATACCATGAGTTACCCTTCAACTGGTACAACTAGTCGCAATAGCTTTGGATACGATGGCGACCAAGCACCACCTTATCTCCGCAACGCCTCGTGGGAGTCAGAGACCAAGCGTCGCTCAAAGGTTAACGACCGTATCCTGGAGTGGGCCAAGAAGTCGTGGGGTGCTGTCCGAACTCGCTCCGAATCCAAGATGGACTACTTCGACAGTCATTCTGCACAAAGTCCAACCAGCGACATGATGTCACCTTCGTCAGATAACATCACCCCATCAGAGCCCGATGGCTCTCAGACAGTCAACGACTACTCTCGAGCTGTTGTTACCGTCACTGGAATGGCCGGCTCAAAGTCTGGATCGAAGTGATGAGCGGACTCAAACAACAAATTCCCTTATTTTAATCGTTAATGAGTTGGTAATCGCTAGTAACGAATAATGCGGCGTTAGGAGGTATTTGTTTCTGTTTGGCTCCATGAGATGATCGATGGCACAGCCAGGCAGTTTGTATTTTAGAATTGACGAGGAAACCAGACCTCGATAGGAGGTAACTCCTCAGAACACACCGCCACCAATAATAAAAAGGCGCTCTTCCTCCCTCTTTGCCCATTGAATGATCTTGTTTGCCCCCTGTGCAATGGTTGCTCTTGATACGTTAGGCCCTGCCACACAATAAAACTCGAAAACGGGCGTGGTCCATGCCAGTGAAGTTGCATCATCTCCCACCGCATGCAACACCTTAAGATGCGAATGTTTGGCGTGAATAGATGCGTGCAGCTCATGGTAGGTCGTCATTAACCTCCTGCGTGCGACAAGCCCGGTGAACTGTGGCTCCAGTGACGCCATACAAAACTGCACGTTAGCCCGAGATTTATAAAGAAAGTGGCTAACCTGGCTGCCAGGAGCAATCTCATGGATCTTGGGCCGGCCAGTGCGAGTAGCATTCTGAATGATCGCCAGTGTCCCATTCTTTGCAAGCTGCTGGGCAACGTTGTCGCGCATCTGTTTCAACTCAAAGAAACTCTCACGATCAGTGCTTACGAGAATCATGGCGATTTCTTCTTCCGACGAGCGCCCCTGTGCTGCAGCTGGAGAGCTGGCTTGCTCACCAGAAGTACCGTCAAAGAAACTGACGTACATGTAGAGATAACCTTTGTTGTTGAAAGCCGGAAGACAAATGGGAATCCAATTCTCGCCGCCGCCACCTTTGATGCCGTCGCTTTCAAAAAGCATATTGAAAATGAGCTGTAAATCACTGGGGTGAAGTGAATGACGACGGGGCCGGATGACGCTGACAAGCTTCCCCCCGGCCACGATAAGGCCGTATAACAACTTTTCAGTTCGCAATTTCAGAAAAGTGTTATTTATAGCATGTCGTTGGGACTTTCGAAGCCGAAGGCACTCCAGTGAACCAAGTAAAGCCGATGCCGAGCCTTTGGTAAATGTGTCAGCCAACGACGACAAAAGGCCCTCGGTTCCTTGAAGGGGTTTCCTCAAATCTGTCGAAGGTCTGTTGGCGAATATGTGCGTCAATCTGGGCAGCGTTAACGTTGACAGGATTTGCATATATAGCGCATCCAACTGTCCTTGTATTTGCGAATCACTTTCGCCCAACTTGCTGATAGCGACAAAGTAGAGCGGGCCTTTGGTTAAGATAACAAATCGAGTCTCTCCAGCAGAAAACGCTTGAAGCGGATTCCTGGCCCCTTCGTAGAATGAGATAATCGTTTGAACGACGCCCATGGAGGAATTGATTAGACTCAAATCTCCATATCGGCTCCAAATAGGCTTTCCGGCTGATGATAGGATCAAGTAATGTTTCAATTTCGACTTCCATAAGCGTAACATCCCCTCCTCGGCATCTTCGTCGTACTCCTCCGGAAGGGCGTCAAACTCGCGATGGAACTCGACAAATCGGTCGTCTGCGCCTATTCTGCCTTTCTCGAAAGGAAGAACAGACGCTGATTGAGTGCGCAGCATTTTCCAGGCAGGGCTCTTCTTATGTAGCTCTCCAACAAGTAAACTTGCGATATCCCCAGCAGGTCGCATTGTCGGTGCGAAACTCATTAGGCTGGCTGTCTCATCCGCTTCACCGCTGGCACTGCTATCATGGCGGCTGGGAGAAGCACGACCGCTCCCAGCGGGGCTCGGACGAGACTCGGGGCCAGTAGTCGAAAATGTCCCTCGAGATCCATCGGGAAAGGATAGTGTTTGTATTTCGACAGGAGTTATTGCTGTAGTCGCCAGACCCTGTAAAGATCCCGTTTCAGTGGCGTTCGTGGATGGCCGAGGCGGTAGAGGAGGTCGATAATCTTCGTCCGCAGGGACAGGGGACGGTTTGGGGTTTATCTCGTCCATGGTTGCGCGTAGCTCGCTTGTCGCATTTCTTGGTAATCAGCCGTTGTAGAAGAAGGATTTGGAAGATTTGTTATACCCAGAATCATACGACCTGGAAATCTTCCATAAGCATCAGTCGAGGCCATTATACCATTTTGGGTGAAACTAGGATTCAAGATGGAAGTGAGAGAATACAGTACTCGGGAGGAAAGAGGAGGTCCATTACCCGACCGAGGAATGACGCGCTGGAGGGGTTGCGGCAGCCTTGCGCTAAGGGGTTCAAGGCTCAGAAGCTTGAACCAATCAGAAGGTTGAAACAGCACACAGCTCCGCTACTTTCCAGGGTGTTTCAGTGGGCTAAGCTCCAAGCTACCTGTATGCTCCACGTAGCCTTCCATCGATTATATCAATGCGCTTGCCTGTGATTACGACCATTCATACTCGAGCTGCCAGAAAGATTGTTACGCTCTATACTCTCCAGCGATGCCTTTTGATGCTTCTGTGTTACTGCAAGTAACCTGATGTCCCTCGTTTTTTTCGTGAACTGTAATATTTAGTAGCCATGGCTCTCGAGCCCGGGTCTGGTCGTCGCTCAGTATCTCCAGAGAGTTCAGGTCGAGAATCTCCCATTCCACGGCAATGGAGGAATCAGCTCGGTGAAGGTATGTATGCGCTTCTGTTCCCATGGACAATTGGTTTGGTTTCTGACTCGCAATGCAGAGGACTATGCTATCAAGGATAAATCATATCGAAAATATGCCCACGGAGTTGACAGAGCACTGGTATTGTTCGAAACTGCTTTAGAAGAATGGGCCGACTACATATCGTTCTTGAACAAGCTTCTTAAAGTAAATTCTATCCTCAAATCTTATGATCCCCAGAATGCTGGCTAACCGACTCAAGGCTTTGCAAGCCCGTCCAAAATCAGTCAATGCGATTCCCTCCAAGGCGACTGTCGCGAAACGACTCTCGCAATGTCTTAACCCGTCCCTACCATCCGGCGTCCACCAAAAAGCACTAGAACTATACAGTCTGGTATTCTCAGTCATTGGAAAAGATGGTCTGTCAAGGGATCTTCCCCTATATTTACCAGGGCTGGCTACAGTTCTCTCCTTCGCTTCATTGTCTGTACGAGCACCATACCTCGATCTCCTCGAACGTCATTTCCTCGGCATCGACCCTCGATCGCTTCGCCCAGCAATGAAATCTATCATCCTCGCCTTGCTTCCAGGGTTAGAAGAAGAAACGAGTGAGGATTTCGAACGGACACTGCGCCTAGTTGAGAGTTTCAAGCATGCAATCAGACCATCTTATAGCGAAGCGATCACCGACCAACATTCTTCGGGTGATGCATTCTTCTGGCAATGCTTTTTTCTGGCTTCGATAACTAGTCAGAGTCGTCGCTCCGGTGCACTTGCATACTTGATACGATTCTTGCCACCATTAGGGCCTCAAGCTGCCCCCGACAAGAATAAGGCAACGTCAACACAGAGCGATGCCAACGATGACACTAAGAGCAAACTAGCCAATATCGTGACATCCCCTGAGCCAGGTCTCTTGCTGCGTTGTTTTGCGAGTGGTCTCTCAGATGAGCAGCTACTCATCCAGCGTGGTTTCTTGGACCTTTTGGTATCTCATCTTCCCTTGAACGCTCATGTTATTCAGTCACGGGTCAAACAAGATGACCTGGAATTGCTACTTAAAGCCGCTATCGGTGTGGTCACTCGGCGCGAAATGAGCTTGAATAGACGCTTGTGGGCCTGGTTGCTAGGACCTGAACCGATGGCTGAGCATGACAACAGTAATGAGAACCCAAGCAGTCCTTCCGCAGATCAACATGGCTTTGCGGCCTCAAGAACCCATTACTTTGAGGATTTTGGACTGCGCCCCCTAACAAGAGCTATCTTACAAATGATCGAGAGCAGTTCTCACAATGCCGCCAGTGAGCGTGCTAAGCCTTACAGGATATGTCTTTCATTGATGGACAGGTGGGAAATTGGCGGTCTGGTAGTGCCTGAAGTCTTTCTTCCTATGATCGAAAGTGTGCGATATTTCAAAGATCATGCCTCGAGCAAATCAGAGTTCAACGAGATCTTACCAAGTGCCAGCACTTTCTTTGATGGTATTGAGAGCGGGCTTATTTACGGTGAGATCGCTGGACTTCTTGCGCAGGCTCTGGGACCAGGATCTCTTAACGCACACGAGCGGAAAGATAAGCTTTCACTAGTAAGCTTCATCTTAGCCAACTTCAATGTCAAGGAGGAAGAAATGGTTACAATTCATGCTCCTCTGTGTTGCTTGGCTGCTCTGGCTATGCTGGAAGATTTTAAGGAGCGCGTATCATCACAAGATAGCGCAGATTCAGAACTTATTTCCCTGTCCAGCCAGGCACAGAGCGTCGCTCTCTCGCTCTTGGACCTTATACCAGAACGAGTCTTTCCCGAGTTGACTGAAGACGCAAAGGATAAGAGCGGAAACTCGACCTTACCTTCGAACGGCGAGATATTGAAAAGATCTCAGAGATTCTATGTCAATGAGCAGGGTAATGTTGAGACATGTCCGCCGCCATTCAATGCTTTGACTGTAGGACAGACCATTCTGGAGAAAGCTGCCCAGTTTGTCTGCCTGGGCTTGGGGTCCTCTGAGACTGACCTCAACGCTTGCATCAGGCTTCTCGTTCTTGCTGTCCACAAAACTCCCAGGACGTACCAGGTTAAGGAGATACAACTCCTGAAGCTCATGCATGGCCTTCTTGAACAACCAGATGTCATGGCATTTTCTTCTTTCTCGGCCATTCTGCAATTATCGACTCAGCTGTACTACGCCGAAAGGATCGAGACAAATCAACTTTCAAGCCTGATACCTCCCCTAGTTCGACATGCCTGGACATACCTGTCGGCGTCAGAGCCGAAGTACCACGTAGAAGCAGTCAGAGGTCTGTGGCAACTGCAATCAGCCCTGACAACATCTAATCGCGATATCGAAGCGGCGTTGTCTAGTCTAATCATCACGCAAAGCACGTCACGCCTGCGTGGTGTTGAGCCCGTAGATAAGGGTCGTGCTTTGGGTGTGCTATGGTCACATACCCTTCAGGATAATGCCCCCACTGAGCGGCGAGGTTCAAAAACACCGATGCATGATATGAAGATTCTGCCTCGAATCGCTGGAGCTGATAATTACGAAGTTATGCTTACGCAGCCTTTATTCCTCATCCTCGATGCCCTGGAGGACGATCGGACCCAACTGTATATGACGGTGAAGTCATGGCTGAATACAATGCTAGGCATCGATAGGTATTTATTCTGCCTTTCCTCAAAATACTCTTCGACTAACCTTTCACAGGCTTTTTCTAATGTTTGTTTCCAAGCTAGCCGAGATACCCCTTTTGCAAACTCTCACCCAAAGTGATACGAAGAATGACCAAGTGTCAATGCCATTGTCTGAGGACGAAGATTTGGATCTTGCTCTTTACTACTTGCGGACTCTATCCAACATATTAGCATGTGCTGGGGAGATCTCATGGAATGTAATGGCATCTAAGCATGTTTCTTTTCACGGTCAGCACATACAGATCAGCTGTAAGTCGCTCCTTTGTTCACCACGTAATTACACTCTGACATAGTAATAGCTGGGGGTGAAGAACACGAGATGACTCTGCAGGATTTCTTCGTCAGCGTATGCATAAGATGCATAACGAGCAACCCTACCGAAACCGTCACTCAAGAATCCGAGAGTCGTGTCAACCAACTTTACCGTTACGCTCTTAGCCTTCTTCACAAGTTTCTTAACAGCCCTTTTGCTACTCATCTATCAGTCCAGCAGCTCGAGAATGTGTTAATAGAGCGACTTGAAAAGTCACTTCGAGGTTCTGATGCATATGTACAAGTCCTCTTGCTTGATGCGGTTTATGATACGCTAAAGCTTCGAGATATCGCTCCCGCTGAAGCTCCTCCGTCTCCTATATCCGAACGGAGACAATCGTCATTTGATCCTCGAGGAAGCAGGCCATCGCTTTCAGCACCGGAAAACCGACCAGTTACGACGCCCCCACCTCAGCTTCTTCAATGCCTTCAAGACGGTCTCAGCTCGCCCAGTAGCCGGCCAGTCCTCGATAGCTGGGTTGTTTTCGTGTCTGAGTGCCTGCCATTATACTCGGATTCTATTTTCCAGGTAGTCATTCCTTTGGTCGAGACCCTCTGCAGAGAAATAGGCACGACTTTTACCAACTTGAGAGAGACATTCTACTCGAATGCTCTGTCCCTTGGTAGTGACAAACAATCCCCCGAGTCCACATTGATCTTTCTGCTCAATGGCCTTGAGCAGGTTCTGGCGAGGGCACATCAACAGCTTTTGAGTGAGGAGGCTCGGACACAGGTGGTTAAGGGCCCAGACCAACCTCAATCGCTTTTTGGAAGTATGGTATCAAATGTTTGGCAGTCAGACAGCACTCAATCTCGCAGCGCTACGGCAAATGATCGACTAACAGTTCATCTGGCTTTCCAAGATGCGGTCCGCATTTGCTACAGAATTTGGACGTGGGGCCAGGGCAACGACTCAACTAAACAGGACCAGGGCTCTTTTGGGTCGTTCAATTATACATCCTTGCGCATGCGAAATCGCTCTAGAAGGTTGCTTGAGCACTTATTTGCTGCGGAGAACCTGGAATGCCTCGAGACTGTCATTGCTTCTTGGAAGCAGTCGACCGAGGAAGGAGAGCCAAGCCAGGTTTTTAACATGCTATCCGCGTTGGAGGCATGCCGACCAAAGCACTGTATTCCCGCTCTCTTCAACGCTATCTACCGACGCACGAGCGTGGGTAGTGCCGATCCAGCATCCAAGTCAACAATGACAATCTCATTGCAAGACACTGACCTTGTCAAGTTCCTTGTTGAATACACGAGGACACTAGATGATGATGCTATGGACGAAATTTGGCAGGACTGTATGGCTTTCCTGAAAGACCTTCTGACGAATCCATTTCCTCATAGACAAACGCTGCCGAACCTGCTTGAATTTGCTGCTCTTCTAGGAGAGAAGGTCGATAATACGAACTTCGGGGAACAAAGAAGAATGCGAAAGGAACTAGGGGTAGGACCTTAAACTGTTCACTTACCCAATTATTGTTCACTGACATTGCTTTAGGACACCTTTATCCGTTTGCTTGCGGCTCTTTTCACTACAAGGCCTATGGCATTTGCTGATCCGGCAATGTTAAGCAGCGGCATCCCCAAGTCTGACTCAGGCAACTCTCTCAACGGATTCGGCGAAGGACCAGATGAAGTTGTCTCTATCCTTGCCGGGATCGTTCCCAAATTGTCAAAGATTCTGGTCGAACCTGACAGAGTACTTTCAGCCTCGGCAACTATTTCCACTAATGTTATCGGACCAACACTCAGGGCCAAGGGTTTCCCCGAAATAGTCTCCAAAAACACCATGCGTCTTCTTCATGAGTTAGCAAGAGTTCATAATAACCAAAAGAACTGGAAGAAGGACGTTGGAGACGCCTTCAACGACCCTAAGTTCTTCGGAATGGATTTGGATCTTGTGAAAGATGACTGGCTACCATTGCTAAAGCAATGGAGTTTCACCGACAAAGAGAAGATGCCAGAGATTGTAGGCCGCATCAGCTCTCCATCGACAGCTGGCATTGTGTTTGGTGTTGGAGCAACGTCGGCTCGCCTTGAAGCTGATCGCAAGACGCAACTAAATCTTCGAAGAATTGCGGCTTTGATTCTCGCAAGCTCCGAAGACGCATTTGTTTCGGATTTGTCCGACATTTTTGGAAAGCTGGCTGAGCTTCTTGGGGCTTCATCGACATCTTCGCCATCGTCAACTACCCGAGCAGATATTTACATGGTGTTCCGTGCACTTGCTCTCAGGACCAGCGCGATTCATCTAGGCATGCTCTGGCCTGTAGTAAACGCTGAAATCCATGCAGCTATCTCTTCCGTTGCTGCGCCCGACAACAGCGCTGCTTCTGACACTTACACCAACGCTTCGGTTCTCCAGGCCTGCAAGCTACTGGATCTCCTGATATGCGTTGCGCCAGACGATTTCCAGCTTCACGAATGGTTGTTTATCACTGACACTATCGATGCTGTATATCGACCATCTACGTATCAGCCCGTTGCTCTGGTCGACGAGCTTTCCGACGAGCTGGGCGCCACGGTGACCGCTTCGGGATTCCACTCTTCTTCGGTAGTCAACCCAGTAGTCCAAGGTTCATCTCGAAGGCCGCTACTTGGACCAGGAGGCATCAATGACGATGTTAGTCTTGACAGAAAGGACGAATTGGTAGCCAAGGTGCTCCGGCCGTTCTTTGGACAGCTCAGTATCTTCGCGTTCGAGTCTACTTATGCAATGGGGCGGGTTGACAGAGAGGCATGCATCTCGGGCTTGTTGAGAGATCTTTTCGATGAGCGAAGTATAGTTAGACCACTATAGGAATAGTAATTACCTACAAAAGCGAGAAATAGATTTGATTTGATAGAGGAGTATCTGCTCCCTGCTAGCGACCTATCTGCTCCAGCTGCCGTGATCTGAACAAAAGAAAAGGCTGTATTTCCCATGTGTTGACGCCGTGAAAGACGATAAGTTATGAAGAGGGTATTTAACCAACCACTCGATACTCTGAAACCGCTCAAGCATCTCCAGATTTACGCCTGCCGGTATTCTCCTACGACTCCGTTCGATTCCTGAAAGCAATACAAAGCAAATAAAAATACAAGCCCTTAAACCATGATGCACTGCTTTACGCACATCGGCTTTGAGCATATCCCACGAAACTTGCTGGGGTCGTAAAGCAACTACCCCGTGCACCCCCCGAAGCAATATTGCAAACGTTAGTCGGTTGGTCGAGTAAGAGCGCAGAAGCCATAGCCTCCTCCAATGTACCTCCATACACTCTTGCCACAACGCTCTCAAAAGAATCTCTCTCCATAACAGCTCCGAACTCAAGACATTTAGAAACGCCCATGAGTTCCGTGCCTAATAGGTCTAATCTTTCCAACAGTAAACTCTTGTCGAAGCGGGTGGAAAGCTCGAACCAGGCCTGGACGGGCGTGATTTCTAGGTCTCCAGGGTTAAGACTTTGGGCCAAACCGTAGAGAGAAGAGAGTGATATCCGAGGTGATGGCCACTCTAGGTAGACGGGTGGTACGTAAGGATCTAGACCAAGAGTACGGCGGTTGTGGCAAGATGTTGCGGATGAGACGAGTCTGCGGTCACCGAAGACGTCCAGGGGCGCGTTGGCCATACACAGGGAAGAGGCCATAAGGGTATGGCCCTTTGGCTCGTCGTTGGAGAGGTGAGAGTGCGAAGGGTAATCACCGACAAAGAAGTGATCCCAGCAGATATGTTCAAGGCTGTGACGTGTCAGTGAATCTATGCGATGTTTCCGTAGTTGAGTTATCACTTACGAGAGGATGAAGTTCACGGCTTTTTGTTCTTCATCTGGGGTTAGGTTGAGATCTGGCAGAGGTGGAGGAGGGCTTGTCGTGTTGCTACTCGACTCATTGGATCGGATACTGAAGGCAGGTGTCACCATTGAATCATCCTTTTTGAGAGTGACAATAATATCGTCGACGTTGACGTTGGCAAACAGCTCGCCACCGTCCTGGTCATATTGGGGCACGTTCTGGTCTTCCGTGGGCTTCACACCTAGGGTCTCATCTACCCAAGCATCATCACGGCTAGCAACAACATCCTTGGCGACGGCAGGGCGTACGGAGCAACCAGCTGAGTTGCATTTTGGGACCACGATACCCTGGCTAGCGAGGAGCGCTCTGATAGAAATGTTATCTTTTTTGAACTGTTCCGATTCAAACTCGGTCAAGGCGATGAGTTCACGGAAGTGAGTGATATCGAGCTCGAGCTGCTGCTGGTACTCTGCCTTGCGTTGGCGGTGTTGGATCTGAGCTCTTCGTACTTGGGTGCGACGAAGCTTTGCCTTTTCAGTAGCGGTGAGAGACTTGCGCGGCTTCTGCGGTGATGCCTCGCTGCTGTTCTCTGGCGCTGAGGTTGTGTTAGTTTGGTCTTAGTCAACTTGCGCGTTCATAGTGAGACAGCGACGCCTTTGGGGGTATCTAATCTAGTCTCTGAGTTGAAGAGAGAGACCGCACCGAGATACGGGAAGGCATGGCTATTCAATATATCACAAGACAAGACAAAAACTCAAGACAAAGCGGCTCAGATACTTACACTCACTGCTTTCACTCGCTCTAACATTGCTCTTCCGCCCCCTCCGCTGCGGCGTAGTAGCAACAACACATTCGGGTCCTTCACAAGCGGCTCCCTTTTGCTTTGTCTTTTTCAGAAATTGGGTAAAAGAGGGTCTCTCTTTGGTAGGATTTGGATCCGAACTCGCCATAATGATTGAGTATAAAAAGGAGGACTTTTTGTATGTATGTAGATATGTTTAAGTTCCGAGATCTGCCCACTTTTAATGACTCTCAAACTGGTTGGATTTTGAGTTTGAGTTTGTTTGAGAGGTGAGTAAGCAGAAGTAGTAGCCGCAGCCGCAGCAGCAGCAGCACCCAGAGCTAAAAATAGCCAGACCTGGATGAATACAAAAAGTCGTTGAAAGGAAGGAAGAAAAAAAAAAGTAAAAGGAAATAATATTATCATTTGGCTTATTGTCAGCTAGCTGCATACATTAATATATAGATAAATATGCAACTTGGAGAAAAGAGTCAGAAAGAGTTAAGTCCACTCACGAACGAGCTGAGTTTTCTGCCTGATCCGAGAGGCACCTCGGCTTTAACTAGTACCTAGATAAGATATTGGCCTATAGGCAGGCGTATCTCACCACTTCTATTCCATTGTATGGAATGGATAATGGATGCCATCCCATCCATTCATGTCCTACGTCACAAATGTTCATCATTTCCGCGGAGATGGAAGAAATCAACAAAACGATTACAAACAGACGGTCTCCTAGATTAGAATAAATGTAGACATTACTTCATGAATCTCTTCTTTTCTCTTCTTTCGTCCTATCGGCTCACTATCTAAAATAAAATGAAAAAGAATTCATCATAATCCCCTTCTTGACTTACGGGAACCTTCAGATAACAGCTTCATGCGTACCTATCATAATCCCAATCCCTCGGGTATAGCTAAAGCCTTTTTTGAAATCAAACAAATACCCCAACGCCTTGCTGGTAAAATCATAAATCGACACCTCTTCATAAAACCCACGGTTCGAAACCCTTCCTACTCATGGTCGCCGCCGTCGCTATCCGTGGCCGTTCTTTCCTCGAACTCATCCGCATCAAGTTCATCGTCATCATCCATATCATCACTGTCGTCCTCGTCTTCCAAAGCGTTCAGTCCTTGGACCGATTGCCATTCTAAATAGTCGTTCTCAATCCACCGCTTACTGACCGGCAACTGGTACGGGTCGAAAGGGAAGTAAGGGTCTAGCTGGTGGAAACTTTCATCTTGCATATCATACCCAGCGTCCCGGAGAGCTCCTCCTGTGGAATAAGTCGCTGTCAGATACTGCGACAGGCGGATACGCTTGTTGCTCTCGATCAGAGGGTAGATGTACATGAAGTTGAGACGGTGTGAGAGTTTAGCAAACTCTTCAACGATGCCAGAAGAGCAGATCTTCAGAGGATTGAGTTTGCTGAAGATTTGCGCAGACAGGTCTTTCCTGCATGACCCCAACCACTCCATCTCCTGGCCGATGTAAGACGCAGGGTCTTCGGGATCCACAGATTCCGGCGTCTTGACAATGAGATCACGCCAGCGGAAACAAAAGATATAGAGTGCCGCCTGGACAAGGCTGTAGTAGGGGTGAAATCGTCTCAGATCTGGCCCACGACACAAGGGCTCGTATTTCTTCCGATAAACATTGAGGTGATGAAGAAGGGTTTCAAAGACCATGCGGACCAGGCCTTTGGGAAGTTGAGCGCCGCGGGCGACAAAACTGGCAAGATACGATGCAGCTGCTTGCTTGGTGGAATTGGCCGTGTTGCTCTGGAAAGCGATGAAAATAAGTTGACCGCAGAACGCGTCCCAAAGACGCTCATGCATCTGAGCGAAATGAAAGATCAGGAATTGGGTGTGTCGAGACTTGTAGGTGGGCAACACCATGCGTTCGAATTCACGTAACAAGACCCTGAACATGTCGAAGGCTCCATCGGAGCCTGGGTTGGCAAAGTAGGGGGTGTAAACGCGGAAAAGAGTGTCAAGGATGGCGTCCATCTTTTCAACGTTTTGCTTGATGGACTTGATCTTGGCAGCCTCGAGGTCGTAATCGGGATCGTCACTGTCAACCGATTCTGCGTCGCTATCGTCGTCGTCGTCGTCGTTAAGTTCCCAGTCTTCCGTATCTGTGTGTTTTTGCAATGCCCACAGGACTGATGCAGTTCTCTCGTCATCTATGTCTTCCAGATCGACTTGCATTTGGGAGTCGACTTTTACTACTCGGTCGATAATGAGATCAAACACCTCGTCGGACAACTCTGGGCGATAATCCTTGACGCGGAGCAGATTATTCACATAACTCATGTGGACTCGTAAGGACCCATCTTGGTACGGGAACTTGGAGCCAAGGAGACCCTCTAGCACGGAAACGGCGGATGGAAACATTTGGAGCACGAACTGCAGGGTGCGGTGCAATCTGTCGCGCATTGTCTCCCGGCTGACTTCAGGAAAATCCGGGACGTTCCAAACGTCGGACCGGCTGTCGGAGAATTTCTCAACCATCATTGTCAGAACGGGTGACAGATAAGAACCCTGGGCGCTGACCAGGGCAGCAAGGAAATGGGTAAAGACTTTGACGAAAGCGTCGTCACGCCCGAGCCAGGAGCAGTTCAAGATGGTCTTGACCAGGCCGTTGCAAGCCTTGTCTTTAAGGATGGGAATGCATGAGGTGAGGGCTACGACGTAGACCTGTAGTTCATGTGGCTTCAAAGTATCATCTTCTTCTCCGATAACAGGCGGTAGGTACCGCTGCTTGTCGCTGGCAAAGAGCTCCTTGAGCGTGTCATACTGACCATCGTTTCCTCTCAGGTGCTCCTCGAGAGCAGTCCTGACTTCCAACTTCACCTCGTCCATTGACCTTCCACCGACCTCGTACGTCACGTTTCGGATGTCGTCGAATATGACTTTGCGACGTTTCGTAGGACTCTCGGGGGCTTCTACCGGATCGCTGAGACCAGCATGTTCGGCCTTTCTCCTTCCCAAAACAGACGCGGGTTTGAGTATAGAACGGACAGGCGTCGAGTTCTTCGTAGCAGGACCGGAAAGTTTCCTGGTCGTTGGAGTAAAAGGGCGCATGAATACAGTTCGTGCTGAAAACTCGATCGGGTCTCGTTCGTTGTGCGCTGCGGCTCGATGGGAGGGGGACTTCTCGCTCAAAAGTGGTGGCGTCTCTCAGGCAACAAACAGGATAGGGTCCGTGAATGTCTCAGGACGTTCAAGGTATAACCATTGATTGAAGGATGTGTTGAGATATTAACTGGTAGAAATCACCGACCATAATAAGCATGTCGCATCGGCGGAAGTGATGTTAGAAGGAGATGAAGGAAATACGAAAGCCCTTTTTTTGCACAAGGTGGCGGTAGTGGAAGAAGAATCACTCTGAACTTTAGGCGCTGAACTTTTTTTCCATTTTCTGGGGTCCACGATTTTCGGTGGGGAGCGGCACGTGCCTCTCTCTACCAGATTAGAACTAGCCCCTTTCGAGCTCCACATCGAATTTATTGCGTCACAGATAGACATCCATTCACATGGATACAACTACAAGAGATTTCGACATCAAGTAGGTATTGCCTTATATCAGTATACTCTGAAATTGATAGCCCATACGTGACTTAGCATGAACAAGCATTCAAATCAGCATAGAGTCTTGTGATAAAACAGACTTGGTGTTATTTCGTGAAAACTACTTGCCCAATCGAAACATCTTCTCCAATGACTCCTATCCGCTGAGGTGCCATGTTGGACTTTTGAAACCACTTATACCAACTTATGGCTGTTACAGAAATACATACAAACAGAAGACGCTATTGTGGTCTCTATCGTGGAACACATGATGTTCTTCCACCCTCGGCCAATATTCCGCTGTTCTATCCCCCGCGCGTAAATTATACATTCCTTCTCATTTCTCATTTTTGTCACTTGACCGTCCCATGTTGTTGTGTTTCGTGTTGCCAATTATACACATGTCGATGTCATCCGCTGTGTCATGATACGTACGGTTGTCTGATTTTGGGCGACCCATAGGTGACTGTAAGTATAGTACTTGACTTCTTCCTAGCCGTTGGCGGTCGAGTTTGACGGGGATAACGTTGTAGACGAAGCTTCGAGACTCTCGGAGCCAGAGGAGTCAGGGGAGCCAGGGGAACGATTATGGTTATCCTAGTAACCTTCGGTGGCAGTGCCATTGTGACCGGGCTGAGAACCGTACATGTAGTTGGGATCAGCACCGCCCTCGACGCTGTTGCCTTCGTGTCCAAACTCGCCCACAGCGCCAGGCTCAGCCTTAGTGTCGCCCATCATGGTTCCTGGGTACATAGGTCCGTTATCCATTACCCTGTCTCGGTTGGACTGGTTCTGCTGCTGTTTTCGTATGTTGGTAAGCAAGCGCTCAGTTGCAAGTTCACAGGGTCTTCAACATACTTCGCGATACTTGCTGAGATAAACCTTGAGTGCTTCGGCATAGTTCTCGAAGCCAAGAGATGTCATGGCAAAAAGAATGTCTTCGCCATTGACAGTTTTGCGCTTTTCCTGCTGGCATTTCTCCGACGCTGTGCAAGTTAGCATGCTGCACATGAGAGACATGATTCGGATCTGTCGTAGCTGCAAGTCTTAGTAGCCTAAAAGGGGACCATTATTTACCTTCGCTGGTGATGAAAGAGATGAATTCGCTAACACACTCCTGCATACACTCTTTGGCTTCTTTGGCTATCTTCGCATTGTCCGGAAGAGCATTTTTCATGATGCGTGCGACTGGAGCAAAGTTTCGAATATTAGCATCAAGCTCATCAGCTTTGTCGGCCTTTGAGGCGCGAGGCGCTTTGGGGGACTTTGAGGACGAATTGCAAGACATGAGAAGGGTCCAGATATGCACGGCTGAACGGGCTGAGGCGGCAAACAGCTCGCGCAAAAAGGAACGAACAAATCATATCGGGATGCCTCTAGAGATAGATGACTTACCATTGGCTATAGGTAACCAGCGATCTTGTTCCTTCACGCCTTCAAACTCGTATCCCGCGGCGTTTGCGGACTGTGGGTCTTGTTGCTCGTTCATTTGTGCTTCGTCGTCGGGTGACGGTGCACCTTGGTCAACCTCCTTGTGAGGGGATTGGGGGGAATCCGACATATTTGGCTACCTGCAGCGGCTGCTAGCGTCCTTTGTCAAAGGGGATTTCGGGCTCGCACAGCTGGGCCTTGCGATGATGTGTCCCTGGCCACGTCGCAGATGGTAAGGCTTGCAAGCGTCAGGGTGTGCAAGAGAGGGAGAGGGGGTCTTTGTTTCTGCTCTGCAGTGCAGTACTGCGCAAAAGTCAGTCAAAGAGTCCCGATCAGAGTACCGGTAAGGTTCTTGGTAGCTCATGCAGGTGGTCCCTGGCCCGGGATCTCGGGCTATGACGCTGTTCACATGGAGAATAATGGGGGCGTGTGCGTGAGAGACAAGGTCTGGTTAATGTGGACTATGAGCCCGGGTAAGGTAAGGTGAGATGAGGTGAAAGACAACGATGGAGGGGGTGGACCCTTTCGATGTAGAGCCAAGCAGAATGAAGGCGGGGGCAGGACTTGGAGATCCAGGGAAAGGGTTCAGAGAGGCAGTGAAGGCAGTGATTGCTTGATACGTACGAAAGCGTGTGTATCCAATAAAGATGGTCGAGTGAATTGCATGTATGTAGACAAGTCGCGCAGAGTTTGGTTGTGCAGTGAAAGCTTGGAACAGAACTGTCTGTAACAAACGACGGCTGATAGATACAAATCAAGGGCAAGGGCCGATACGCGCAAGAGCAAGAGCGAGAGCGAGAACAGATGCGAGCGCAAGTGCAATGAAGGCTGTAACACGCGTTGCAAAGTCAAAGGATACGCGCAGGAGGAAAACCACGCGCAGGACTTGACGTAAAGCAATGGGTAGGACCTCTGGGCAGAACGTCGAGTTGCCGCTAGGCTAAGGCGTCTCGGAATCGAATCAACGGAGACGGAGCGGCGCAGATTCGGGTCGCGATTGCCATTGACGGGAGGGAGTGCGAAAGGTTTACCGGGTACGGAGCTTGAAAGACTGGGCTGGGTTACACGAAAAGTTCAATGGCAAGCGTCTCGTTCGCCAATTCATTCTGGGTAGTTGTATCCGTAGCTCCAGTGAATCTCCATGAGCCGCAGGGTCTCCATTTACCAAATCGCGTCAGGAACAGAGCAGAGGAAGAGGGATAAGGGCAGGGGCGTGCGTATGCCAGACAACTGACTGACTGACTGATTGACAGTTGATGGAGCGCGATCAATGAATGAATGGGGTTCGTTCAAAGACAGACAGGGGAAACAGAAAGCTAACTGTACCTATAGTATTGCACTGACAAGGCGATGGATCGATGGATCGATGGAGCGAGGCTAGAGGGAGGTGTGAGTTGAGATGAACTCAGTTGCAAATGATCAAATGGGTGAGTGAGAGTGTGAGTGAGGAACAACGAAAGGGTGTCTGGGCTGTTCGCTTGTGGTCGCAGTTGAGGTGCATATGTGGAGTGCAGAAACAGGCGTGGGGTTCTGGTAACTATCTAGAAAGCCAAAATGTTACTTACAATGAATGAGTTGACTGTAAGCGGGTACAATACAGTAAGAGATATACCGAATGCTAAAAGTGCGGTCAAGGTAAGACGCGATTCACTGTGACTCTGATATTGGGAATGTTAAAAGTAAGATGCAAGCCATGGAAGTGAGGTTGGGAACAAAAACACGCCAAAGGTGGAAGGCAGGAAGGCTGAGCCTCCACTCACTGGTTGCTACCTGCAGGCTACAGTAGGCAGGTACGTAAAGTACTACTAGGCTTTCAGTGGCTTCTCGGTGGAGTAAGAGCCTGGAAGCTCTGTTCTGTTTCTGTTCTGTTATCGATAACACACGGGCCGCTTCCAGCTAACCTCATTGAGCTCAGACTAGGCACAGATAATGTCATAGCCACCAACCAAGACAACAGAACTTAATTACCTACAGCATTAATCTGATAACATTTGACATTCAAAACACTACGAATAACTTGACGATTGTTCTCTGCAGTTACTGATAACCCCCACCAGAGCCGACACCGCCAGATTCATCCCGTCTGATCCGAGCAAGGAATATTCACACGATGGACCATCGAATTGCTCGTTTCCTTGATTCCTTCAGCCGCTAAAGCCCTGAAGCCCTAGGCTTTTGCTGCAAACACTCCCCGACTCAAGGGTGCTGTACATATACATTACACACGAACATGGCCCCAGGCTCAGGCGGTGTGTCGCAAACTCTTTTTTACCTTGCATTTGTAACCCGTCCGGGGGAGGACAATCGTACGAAAAAGAAACCCGTGTTTCCAGTGATACTGTGCCATACTGCACTGCAGTGTACGGGCTGTCCTGTACTGGCCGAGAAAACGTGTATCAGGTATTACACCCAATATCACAGCTTGTATAGAGGTGAGGCTCTATAACGAGGCCTTCTACTGTGCTGTTTTTGATCAGCATGTTATGGCAAGCAACAGTCAAACAACTCTGCAAATATGACCCCATCGCCAATGTCTCCTCAAAATGACGTCCAGATCCAGGCACTTGACCGGTAACGATCAATTCCATCTGGGCGGTAACGGAATGGTGGGCGACTCTAGTTCCTTATTTGACAATGGCTCAAGTTGTTCATCAAGCCACCATCCCAAGATCCTATCAAAATAAGCCCGTTGGGGTTCTTACAGTAGCCTACTCCATGTATTATTCTGGGCCTCATTCAGACTTTGTAGCCTGTAAGCTCCTGCGGAGTATGCCTCAAACGCCAGCCAGCTGTTGACCCTTGAACTCGACTAGTGTAATCCAATCAATAGTCTGGCCGCTCTATTAACATCATCGAGTTCCAACCAATGTCTGCAAGGACCCGACAAGCTGGGCTGGGCCAGTATCATCTAAGTCACAGCTGCATCTTACCAATGAAGAACCTTATCCTACGGGGCGCTTCGTTCGTGAATACCTTTGAGCAATTCTTTTCAGCCGAGGCGTACTGGAATTCTCCACTATCATGGATCGGTGTCAGGTGTTGACCATATGATGTCCCTGTTGGTTTTGAGGCGCTCTCATGATTGGAACCCAACACATCCACCCAACCTCGAGAAGAGACACTTATCGCCTCAGCTAAGCCACAAACTAAATCTTGAGATCAGAACTTCTTTCTGATACGGTACGAATCCTTGCGATGAGGAATCGCCGATGAAGCCGGATAGAGTTATTGAGGCTGGCCTCTCCTTTGGCGCTCGAATCAACACAAAACTTGGTATGTACGTCAGCAGCCATTCGTACCATTTATGCAGAAGCAATAGGCAATCTTGGTGCAACTGAAAGGCCGTCCCTGACGATCATATACCACGTCTGTCCTGATTTGTCGAGGCAAGCTGTTAAATGTCAACTTGTGATGAACCAAAAGAGTGTGTAGGCTGCCATGCTCGGCCGTTCCGAGCCTCAAGATTCATTGGGCTTCAATACTTCAGCATCAGGAGCTATGACTGCAAGGCCTATCATTGGGAAGGCAAGCTGCATATCATAGAGTATTAACCGATCACTGTGCCGCAAGGCCTACATGTGAAGAGGGGATGTGGACGTAGAAGCAGCCAGTCAGATGCAGTCGTGGTGCTTTTGCATGTAAATAGCCGACCTGCTGCCTGAGTTAAGTGCCTCTAGTCTCCACAAGATGATATCGCCCTTGACGAGGGCCATGATCATGGCGAGGAGACGTGGGAACAAAGGATGTATGTAACTTATGATGACTTGCAGCTGCCCCATATCGATCAGACTCTTTCAGATCTCGGTGAAGATGGCTTGGACTTTATAGGTAACTGTAGGCAGCTAGCGTTACATGAATATGGCAAGACGCCAGTTGTACGTCTTACGTTTCTGCTCTACAGGCAGTTTTTCTGGAGACATAGATATCCTGATCCCACGGCATTGAATGATATAAAACACGTGATGCGTGATGACCTTTGGACAACTTCTATGTCTCAGTACCTGTGCCAGTATGCACCTTGTAACCTCTTCATCAAGAATATATATGCATCGTTGATCGTGATGCAACCGGTGGGCAAGCCTTGTCAATCGGAAGGTTTCTGTCCAGACAAACACACGTCCATCCTTCTGGTCTCGCATTGCATTGCGCTGCGCTGCACTACATTGTGTCGCTTGTGTTCTGCACGTCAACATGTTTGAGGTTCCTGAGGCCTCAATGCGGTTGGGTGTCGAGACGCCCTTGAAGCCAAAAGCCCCACTGCGCGCAGCAAAATGTACAACGCATCTACACCATCTTTTTCACTCTCGTGTTGCCTTTTCAGCCTGAATTTGCAGGTAAAAGTTGGTAGTAGGTAAGGATGGTGAAATCCGTCTTATCCGTTGATACTAGGACGAGATAAAGCATCAAGGGATTTGAACAAACTGCAGAATGAGGTGGTTGTTAATCTGCTTATGAAAGCTTCGGCAAAGTGAATGTATTCAGCGATCTCAACATCCACATTGATATTGCGGAGGATATAGTCTTCAGCAATTCACCACGACCAGAATGCTCTCGTGTAGCACAAATCTTTTGTTTTGATTTCGATTTCGACCTCGTAATCTCATTATTGCTGAACAACCTGCACATTGTGCTTTTTCTGTACGGTATGAGTTAGCATATGCTCCTTAACAGCACAAGACCATCTCTCGAATGAGCCAACTCACCTTCCACTTCTCAAGATCGTCCTGCTTCGTCTTGTACTGCTTCACCAAATCTTCCAACACCTTTCGAAGTCCTTCTTGGTTAGTCTTGAGGGCTGGGACTACATCCTTGACGGTCCTCTCGACAAGTACTCCATTGATAAGGCGGAAGCACTTTCTATCCTCAGAAAGGGGCTCTAGGGTCTCCAAGACAAGTCTGTTCAGAGAATAAAATCAGCAACAGGTTATTAAAATACAGCGATATTTTGAAGTGACACGACAAGACACGATAGCACACCGACGTCATGCTTTCTCCTGACCGACAGACACCGTCGACAGTATGGTTGCAACTGGGGCGCCTACTTGTGCTCTTCGGCTTCTTGCTCAATGTCACCAATTCTCTGGGCTATTTGCTGAAGAGTGTTCTTGTAGTTGGAGTAGGTGACTTGAAGATCTGAGAGTTTGAAACCAGTGAGTGAGTGACAAGTTACTGAGAGATTGTGAGGATGCGGGGCAAAGACCGACCTTGCTGCTTCTTAGCAGGCACTTGGGGTTGAGCTGCTGAAGACATATTGAGAGAGTTGTGAGCTTCGGCTCTATTGCTGCTTCTTTTTGTTCAGGAGGAAGATATCAAAAAGTTGTCCCCTACTAGGTATGGATCGCATGAAGTGAGTGACTGCCCCTCCAAAGTCCAACGCTGAAGCCTCCCACCTGGTCCGTGCACTCTGCCCCAATCTTCAGTCTTCCCATCAGCCTGTGGCGATCCTTGGATTTCTTTCAGGGTCCTTACCTTTTACTCAGACAACAATTTAACCTTCGAAATCTAAAAATGCATCCTCATCTTCATACAAAGAACGCTTTAGGTAAGTCGAGGCTTAATGGGTCTAGATAACCTTCTATTGTTTGCTGACTGTCAATTGTAGCGTGCGAAGAGGTCATCGCCGCCCTCGAAGAATGTCACGCCCAGGGCTTCATGCACAAGGCCGTCGGAAGCTGCAACACTGCCAAGGAAAAGGTCAACGAATGCTTGAAGCTCGAGCGATCCAAGATGCAGGCCGAGAATCGCAATGCCGCCCGTGCAAAGCGTGACAAGATCAAGGAGCAGCAGCGCGAGCTGGGATTGTAAATGAGAGATACCACGAACCTCACGATACAATGCCGACGACTCCGAACTCGATGCAATTCGATCAGCGATTGAGTTTCCTCGACATGTACTATATAAACACCTGGGATGGCGTTTTGGACTATTGATTCATAAGGCAGGCGTATGGAATACATGGAATCGAACTGTAACTATACTCGACAATGTACAAGTATAATCACGATGCGATACGTCCGACCGTCGTACGGCCTAACACGATTGCTTTTAGGGCTCCTTGTGAAAGCTAGTCGAGTTGCTGCTGAAGGTGACAAGTCCGAATTACCTTGGCCATTGAGTCTTGAAAATGGGTGGCCAAGATTTGTAAGATACGAGAAAGGGTTTCCTGCAAGCTGATTATGTTAATAGCTGCCGTATACCAAGTCGATTTCGTCTGTATGCTCAATGACACAGTATACATTAGCACCCATTGTCGCATCAATACCGAGGACGAAATTGTCATGATGCCATACGTCTACACAGTACTTTACCCTTCTGAGGTAAAACTTATGCACTCAAATCTACACATTCAGCCGTGAAGCGGTTTGGGTATCTGTTCAAAGATGTTTGCTTGACTTAACCGAAAGGTCAACTGAAAATACATCAAATATATCGCTTGCTTTACGTCCTTCCGTAGAAGGTCTAGAAAACTATATATAGGCAGTCATGTAATTGACGGTTTCCAGCGACCTCCTCGAAACTAGGTACCAGTTTTAGTTAGTTGTTATGTGACAGTTTTGACTTTCTCCAAGATCTGCCCCTTTCAGAAATGGTCGGTGTTATATACGATGACATTTAGATACAGTTATAATTGAGAAGTCAAGATACACAAGTAAAAAAAGAAAGCACATTTCACACACCTACATTTTGTCTGAATACTTGCAGAGCTTTCGCTCTATCTTTGACGTAGATTCGTGCAAGATACATTGCTTAAAGCATGCTCTTGGGCTATTGGCTATATAATCATCGACACCCGGTCACAGATTGCAGAAACAACCTACGTCCTAATCTCACGCATATTCCATCCTCTTCCAATCATTTTAAACTTTTCTTCGAAAAGCAGTGCCAAAAGTATAGAGGCCAAATGCCGAGATAACGCTGAGAAGAATAGGGACTGGCTTCCTCAGACGAAGAGCTCGAGGGAAGGCTGAACCTCCAAGAATGATCGAGGCAAGCAAGCCGAGCTCAACTCCATATGGCTCCTCATTCTGAATACGGTAACCGCCCAGGGCATCTTTGAAGAAACGAGCGTTAATACCCAAACCACGAAGGCGGCAAATCCTTTACATTACTTACATAGGAGTCCCACAGTGCAGCCAGCTACAATGGAAGGAATAGAGCCCGACTTGGCGTATCCCATGATGCCTCCGCCCGCTACCACGGCGCCCATAATATAGGCAGGAAGCTCGAGGTCATGATAAGTGGTGATAGGTGCCTTTAACCATAAGTCAGTAATTGATTTGTGAGAAGCTACGATAAGCCCGCTACTTACCATTTTATTAGATCGTTTCTTGATTGTAGATTTGTTTAGGTACTCAATTGCCCTGAAACTTTGATGATGTAGTAACTTTGGCCTTTTATTGTTGAAGCTGCGGAGCTCTCGGCCAGGTTGACGACATATGAGACGGTACGTACCTTCTCAGCTAGAGGTCAAGAGTGGAGCCTGCCCCAGGATTCAAGCTTTCGGTTGGCCAATCATGTATCTTTACACTTTGGAGCTTTCGTGTCCAGAGAGCTCTCCCGTGCTGCCCATTATACGAACCATCAACATCACGAATCAAGCATCATTCAACACCCGCGATATCGACAAACCTATCCATACCAGCGAAAGCGATCCACAAATCGAAAATCTCAAAATCCACAATCATGGCAGCAAAGAAGAACGCTCGCGACACCACCGCCGCGACTGCTGCCACCTCTCAGGCCAGCACCAGCACTACTGCACCCATCCCTCTTGTAGCCGAGCAGATTAAGCCCGTGGTTCCCAAGAAGAATGATGCCAGAGCCCATGTACAATGGGATCAGGTTCCTCGAACTGTCTGGAACCACTACGTCAAAGAAACCCCCCAACGTATCAAGCTGGTTGACATGTTCCTGGTCTACCTCGTCATCATTGGTGCCATCCAGTTCTTCAACTGTGCCATCACTGGCACCTTTGTACGTATCAAAGACTTCATGTGCAAGTTCACCAACACTGATACTCTTACAGCCGTTCAACGCTTTCCTATCGGGTTTCAGTGCGACGGTGACACAGTTCGTCTTGACAGGTAAATTGCGAAAGTGAATGGCTCAAGATTGCAGGTATTAATGTATCTCCAGTTGGTCTGCGACTCCAAACGAACGAAGCGGTCAAGTCCGATTCTGTGGACATTTCACCCGAGAGGTTTGTTTCCTTTCGATAGCAATAAAGGTCTGACAACTGACATCAAGAAGGTCGTTCGCCGAATACGTCGCTGTCAGCTTGGTCGCGCATTTCTTCGTTGTCAACTTTATCAACTGAGTGCTATTGGAAAAGGCATGCATGCACCTCAGGGGGGCCTTCTGATAGTGCGCTATAGAAATGGCCTTTCACAAAATTGTTTTAAAAGGTTACGGATGGACCGAGTAATAGAACAGAACAGTCATAAAAAAGGGTGGGGAATCATTTATACGTGCTATTTTGCCATATGCTCATTGTGCTTCATCACTACTGGCCTGAACCTCCGGCTTGGGTGAATCCCTAGGAGGGCCTCCTTTTGGCGGAGGGGGTGCTGGTGAGTTTCTAGCTGACGGCGCATTGTCCACAGCCCGGCTCTTCTCTTCCTCTTCCTTGAAATAGTCATCCATCAATGGGTTGGGGCTATGACCATGACGCTCTTTCTTCTTCCCTCCTCCTCTTGGCGGGGCGCTCGCAGGAGCATTGCCTATCATCTGTGCAGGCACTAAGAAATCTCCTGTGGGGGGAGGTTGAGGCTCCGAGCCTGCAGCAGCGGGTACAAATACATCCTCGCTCTTTTCGTTGGGGGCTCCGTCGAACATAGTCTCGCCAGGAGCATCAACAGGCTCGCTAAGGGGAGGAGGTATCCTGTGAAGAGCGCCGTATCCAAGAACACAACCCAGTGCGCCCTGGCCACCCCAGTCCCGGCTGGGCTGTATTGTGACTTCTCTGGTGACGTTGTATTCGTTGTTGTAGACCCAGATGCGCATTGGCCGTCCGATAAAGTCCTCGACAAGCTCGCCCAAACCACCTTCTCCATATAACGCGCCTTCAGGGCTGCCAAGGATGTAGTCGCTGTACGGCAGCAGACCGGCGACGTCGGCGGGGGAGTTGGCAGGGACATCCAGAACATGCCAGATGTTTGCCGCGAGAGCGAGGGGGGCGTATTGCAGAGAGAGGCCGAGGGATGCAGTGTCTGGCGCAACAGGAGCGTGGATCTCTCTAGTTCTTTGGCCCTGGAAATTGTCAGCGGTTCACCTTCTGTTACAAGATAAGTTGATGATTTACCTTTGCGTTCCATAATCCCAGGGTAACTGTGCTGCCCGCGCAGTTCCTCACTTCCTGACTGAAGAGTGCAGGTTCAGGGTCCTCCTATAACAGTGGTTAGAGATAAGATGTTTGAGGCTCTCTTGATAGAAAGCTCGTACAATAGGTCTTCCATTAATGCCAACAATAAAGTCAAACCAGGGCTCGATGGCCAAATCCAAGTTGGTGTTGCGCAAGACCTGGAAGCCGAAGGACCCCTTCTCTTGTTGCCGCTGCTGCTGAACGTCACCGTCCAAGCGCGAGATGAAGCGGTTTAGCGCATTGAACATGGCTGTCCGGCGTAGGTGACAGTCTATCTAGAGAAAAATTGGGATTTTACAAGGGGAAAAAGGTCGGGGTTGTTGGATCTTGGTGAGATGGGAATGGAAGCTCAAGGGCGGGCCATTGAGCAAGCTGTCACCATTGCTCAGGTACCTATCGCTCGTAGCCTTGCAGCGTGCCAAGTCCTCTGATGTAGAGGTGGGGCACACTGTGGGGAGCTTCAAGGACAGCCTCGCGCTCAAATTCAACGTTAAGTTTGTCTGGGACCTTATTCGCGACAAACCAACTTTTTCAGAAAATGGTTTTTATCTAATATGAGTTTGTCTTTCATATCGTTTCAAAAGTGAAATTACTGGTGTTACCATAGCAGAGATGTCGCTGGACAACTCCGAGTACGCGATGAAGCCTGCTGAAGAGCTGCCTCTCACCGATGAGTGTCATCAATACCAAGGAAAGAATGAGGTGCCGTGGGATATTCAAAAGTGAGTGAAAATCCATTATAAAAAAGCAGAACGAGTGTCTAACATAATCAGGTATTTTGCGCAACGATATTCCATCTTTTCACTCTACGATTATGGAGTCTACATGACAGACGATGCCTGGTTCGGTGTAACGCCTGAGCCAGTCGCAAAGTGAGTCCCGTCCTCATATCCAGCCATTCGTTGTTGAAAAACTAATCTTGTTCTTTTTGTAGCCAAGTTGCCAACGATATGTATGGTACTGATGAGAAGAAGCACATCCTCATCGATGTCTTCGGCGGCGCAGGCGGCAACTCCATCGCATTCGCCCTCTCCGAACGCTGGAGTCGCGTTATCTCTATCGAGCGCGACCCTTCTACACTCGCCTGTGCTCAAAACAACTCCAAAGTGTATGGCGTTGAGCCCGGTTTAATTACTTGGATTCTCGGGGATAGCTTTGAGTATCTCGACAGATTGATCAACCGTCCAGAAGAGCTACATCCAGACCTGAGAGTCAATCTTGACGAAACAGTATTATTTGCCAGTCCGCCCTGGGGAGGTCCCGGATACCGCACCGACGAGGTGTTCAACCTGTACAACATGCAGCCCTACAATCTTGACGATCTTCATAATGCGTACAATAGATTGGACCATGCCCTTTTCCTGCCAAGGACGAGCGATATTCGACAGATTGCTAAGCTGGCACCTCCTGATAGGAAAGTCGAGGTTGTACAGTACTGCATGGAGGGAGCTAGCAAGGCTATGGTTGCGTACCTTCCGAGCAAGCACTCCGAGAAACACGAATAGACGATACCCGCTTGAACAATTTGTTATCAAGATCTGTCTCGATGCCAAGTTTACTAGTGAAAGGTGAGAGATGAGAAGATTCCATTATAGTCTGGCAAGATATTGTGAAACGCAGAACTATGACGGAGAGGATTCTGTCAAAGCATTCAAAGAAGCGCAGTCTTGATTCCTGTGGTCAATGGCTTCTAATTTGTTCAAGCTCAAACACTTGTCTGAGATACCGCAGGTTAGGTAGTTTGTTACTATGAGTTTCGCTTGACGATGAAGTCATCTACATTTATTTATTTGAAGCATAACATACCGACCGGCCCGTACCTATGGAAGCTCTACTTGCTTTTCAGTGCATCATATGATACAAATACTTGCAATCCATATGAATGATACATTTCCATATATCCTGTTGTTATAATAAGTATGTCCTTCCAAGAAAGCGTCACTGTGCAAGACTTTCCTGTTGACACTGTCCTCTAAATGGTTGATTTTGACTTGGTCAAAACTTGCAACAACCCCATCCACGCGCAGATTTTCGCCTCAGAGCCCAACCTTGACAAATTTCTTCTACAGTGCCATATAATCCTCGCAATGGCCAAAGATAAGAAGAAGAACGCCGATACTAAAAAGGCTAAAAAGGTGCCGTCATACCTTGTGCTACTTACTGCCCCTCTATTTAATTACCCCTCCAAAGAAAACTGCCCCTCCATGGTCCATGACACGATGAACATTTGACTGATGACTGTGATCAGGCCGAGAAGGCGGCTAAGCAGGCCAATAAGGGAGAGAAGAAGGCCAAGAACAAGGCTGCTAAGGTCGAGGGAAGCGATGCTGAGGATGTAGATCTTGATGAGGTGCTAGAGGAATATCGAAGGCAACAGGAGCAGTTCCTTAAGATTACAGAGGCTGTAATTGATGCACCACCGAGAGCGAGAGCTGCATCTACGTTGATGGCTTCACCTCATGATACCAATACTCTGCTGTTGTTCGGTGGTGAATACTTCAACGGTTCTCTTGCCAAGTTCTACAACGACTTAAACATCTACAACATCAACCGTGATGAGTGGCGATGTGTTACTTCACCCAATGCTCCGCTGCCTCGATCTGGGCACGCCTGGACTAGAGCTGGCAACCCAAACCATGTTTATCTATTTGGGGGAGAGTTCTCTTCGCCTAAGCAAGGTACATTCCACCATTACTCTGACTTCTGGAGGCTGGAACCTGCAACGAGGGAATGGACAAAGATCGAGTCAAAGGGCAAGGACAAGAGTCCCTCGGCGCGAAGTGGTCACCGAATGACTTACTGGAAGCAGTATATTATTCTCTTCGGAGGCTTCCAAGATACCTCGAACCAAACAAAGTATCTATCAGATCTATGGATTTTCGACACTGTCAACTTTGTCTGGCACTCTCCTCAGCTGCCTCCTGCGCAGCTTAAACCAGATGCCAGATCTTCCTTCACTCTTCTACCTCACGAGGGAGGCGCTGTTCTATACGGCGGCTACTCGCGTGTCAAGGCCACGGTAAATGTCAAGCAAAAGGGCAACAAGGGACCAAGCCAAGCTCAGCGCAATGTCCTAATTCCCAAGGTGCACGAAGACTGTTTCTTCCTCAGAATCTCTCAGCCTGCTACTGATGCCAATCCCAACACTCCTCCCGTTGTGAGATGGGAAAAGCGAAAGAAGCCTGCCAACGCTCCCAATCCTACTCGCGCAGGTGCTACCATGGCGTGGCACAAGGGTCGAGGTATCCTTTTTGGAGGTGTGCATGATGTTGAAGCCAGCGAAGAAGGCATGGACAGTGAGTTCTTCAACCAGCTGTTTGCTTGGAATATTGAGCGAAACCGATTCATGCCTCTTGGTTTGCGAAAGCCTCGTCAACAAAAGAAGGCTGCTGCCGAACCCCGAGGAGGTCGTCGTGGTCGTGCCCAAGCCAATGAGGAGGAGTTGCTGAGACAACTTGCGGCTCTGGAGACTGGTGCTTCCCTCGATGATGCCGACGATATCGAGATTGCCAAGAAGGAAGAGGAACAAGAAGACGAGAAGCCGGCAAGAGAAATGCCAGTGACCATGGAGCCTCCCCATGTGAGATTCAATGCTCAGCTGGCCATTCAAGATGATGTTCTGTACATCTACGGTGGTACTTTTGAGAAGGGTGATCGAGAGTTCACTTTCGATGATCTATATGCCATTGATCTTGGAAAACTAGATGGCTGTAAGGAGATATTCAACCGCCCTGTCGAGGATTGGATCGTAAGTGATGAAGTACTCTTATTTGAAGTTCATGTTTCTAACCATTGATACAGGAGTCGGAAGACGAGGACGATGAAGACGATGATGAAGAAGACGACGAAGAGGAGGACGAGGAGGAAGAAGAAGAGGAAACATCCCAACCGCTACATACCCCCAGCAAGCGTAAGAAGAAGCAAGACGAGACTTCAGAGGTATCGTCAGAGATTTCTTCGGAGCCATCAACGCCATCTGAAGATGACGAGACCGAGACTGCGGCTGCAACTGTAGACGACGGACTTCCCCATCCTAGAGTAAGACCTCTCTCCCTTTTCGAGGATCTAAAGATTCCTTACTGACATTGCAACAGCCATTTGAGAGTCGACGAGAGTTCTTTGTCCGCACTTCCAACGAGTGGCAAGAGATCCTCATGACGAGTCTGCGGTGGAAGAACATTCAGCCTGAGACCATGGCTATCAAGGAGATTAAAGCCAAGGCTTTCGAGCTCAGTGAGGAGAAATGGTGGGATTGCCGTGAGGAGATTATGGCTATTGAGGAAGAGCAGGAGGCTGCTGGTATCCAGGAGGTTGTTTCCCTGGCAGACAGAGGCGATGCCGGTGCTGCTGGTGGCGCGAGAAGAAGGTAAAGGCATTTGATTTAGGATACGAGGCGATATTTAGCATGCCAAGCATTGTATGAACGTACATTGAGATATACAGTTGGCCATAACCCGTGTAAGCTTAAAATCTTCAGATACATACCGATGTCGGCAATGCTGGAATTGTATGGATGGTCTGCTCAGTTGCTGGAGATGACTTGATGTTCAATATCATATCAACAGACCCAATCGATCATGATTATCTTGGTATTTTCTTACGATGCTGTGAAATCTCTGACCTCCCTCGACCTAAACTCCTCACCTCTACCGTCCAACGCCACGCCAACCCAAACGTCTCATTCAATCATCAAGCCTTCAAAGGTTCCTCAACAACGCCAGTAGGTGACCATGCCGCTTTCTTGCCACGCGTCCAGAGAACAAGCGCTGCAGCTCTCTCGATGAGTCAGTTTGGAGAAGCAGCCATAGGCGGGTAGGAGACCCCGCCGACTTCAACCTTGGGCTCGCACTCGCAGCGCTCAGATTGGGGAACATTGTCAATGACGGATGAGATGTGGCTGCCGCAACCCCACCAGGAGGTCTTCTCTGAGGGTTTGTCAGTACGGCAATGCAGAAGGTGAGTCAGAGGGATACTTACTGCAGGTTCCGCAGGTGGCCTTTCTACACATGTTGATAGGTAGGTAGTAGGTATTTGATAGGACTTTGGTTGTTGCTGTAGAGTCAGTGAGGGTCGAAAGTGTGGAGAGGAGAGGAGGGGGAATTAGAAGCTTTCCACTTTCTATTTCCATTTACAGCATCTCCGACACGGCGATAACTAAGCCATAGCCACTGATTCGCCGCCGATATAGGAACAATGCCGAATTATGAATGTCTACAATGAGCCAACAATGCACTTTTGCTCGAGCAAATAGAGATCAAGTGATGTCATAGTCTTACCAGGCACAGAAGATATAGTATGATCAGTGAAGAATATACATTGAACATGACCTCAGATTATAGTCAAAACGTCTCATAGTTCTGGCTGGTATGCTAATTATGGATTATAACTCCCCATCTTCGGTTTTACTTTCCAAAGGTTTGTTCTTGGCAAGAACCTCGCTCTCGACAATAGATCGTATCAAGTTCAGTGTCAAATCCCTCCCTCTCTCAATGTTGTCAGGCGAAGCATCCGCCGGAACGTGGAGGAACAGCGCCTTTCTAGGACGTTGCTGCTTCCAGAGTTCCGATAGACTTGAGTAGTAGATGAAGTCGCACAAGTAATGTCCTGCATCTTCGGATATACGGACATCATCATCCTCCTTCAAGACTATCGTCAGTATCTATTCCAAATGGATGCTCCTCTTTACTTACTGAACTATGTCCTTTCCATAAAGTAAGAATTTGGTCAATATCTAGATCGGTTTCTATCTCCTCTGGCAACCCTCTCCATGGCCAGTCATCCTTCTCGCGGTCCTCATCTTGATCAATCAACTCTCCGTCGACGTCTGGATGCTTATAGCCATCACGATGGCCTCTCCTCTCGATGGAGTAAAACGGCCGCGGGCCAGCCATTCCGATATGGATAACTACATCATATCGATGTCCTGCGTTGTAAAACGACGGTGCCAGGCCTCTCACGACCTTGTAGTTGACCCGAATGGGCTCTGGATGCACTGAGATGCGCACTGTGGGAAGAACAGCCGCGGCATGCCTCGAGTTGGGATCCTTGGCGCGCAATGGCGGGAGATGTGAGGGCAGCCTACTGGCGATCTCCCATGAAGGATTGATGGGATACTGCTCCCTGAAGGGCTACATCTCAAGGCATTAGCACAGTTCTCGCAGTGCGATTTGGTAGTACATTGCGTGACGTTGAGCGGGGCGGCTAAACATATGACGTTCAACATCAGAAAAGAATGGCAACATACACCAAAGCCCGTGACAAGCACGGAGATCTCGTCTGGCTCTCCAATTTGCGAACCCATGTCGTGCTGAGGCTATTCCCAGGTAATAGATGGTCGATAGAGGGGCGGAGAACAGGTCAAGAGGAAAGGCGGAGGAGAGACGCTTCCTCGGGTCTTATACTTGTTCAGTGGGGATAACCAAAGTGAGGTAACCAAGTCCCTGCCATAAGCTGAGTGAGAAGAAGGCACAGTCTCTTCCAAAAAGGTAATGACTAAAGAATGCTTGATTTGATCTGACCTAACTTGGTTTTATTGAATATGCCGCTTACTTGTACTTGTCGCTTTCTCCCTCTCCCTTTCCGTCTTTTCCTCCTCGTTTATTGCTAGACCCGGAGCCGAGGGAAAACGGAAAAGGCTGCAGCTATATTTCTTCAACAGGAACAGGAACGCCGATTGTTACCAAGAATGGCAGGTCGCCGATTTGGGAAATGATGGGTATAGGGTAGCTAGACGCTGAAGAGTTGTCTCTGATCAAGAGTATCTCGTTTGCATAGACACTTGTCAAGTTAGATTCTGTTAAGATACTAATACTAATCGCTTTGTGTTTGACAGTAACAGTTATCAAGTGTGTGATTGTAGATGTGTGGTGGAAATGTTCTATCATGTTAGATGAAGAGTAATATGATTCAGAGGTCACAACACATTCGGTCAAGGGAGACAGTTTTCTTTTACCACGATTCACTCCCGCAACTATATATACAGCCACAGTACTCTATAGCGCATAAGAGACTCTGCTTATCACATTCATAATAACGTCAAGATTTGATTCACTGGCTCCAAGAGACTTCTTCAACGAGTCCCACTTTTCTATTCGATGCGGAGTTGCCTAATACGGCGTGAGCCAGGAACCGAATGAGTAACATGAATCCATCTTTCTCAAACCTTTATATAAAACATATCAAGGAAACGACATCCTTCAGATAACTTAACTTGCCTACTATTCAACGCTTAGAGATCAAGAACATCTGATACATCCCTAGACTCTCACCGATGCAGTATATAAACATCATGGGATCGACACCAGACTATACCCTGCCTCCTCAGGAGCTCACCTTTGATGGTTTCCTCTTCGATATGGATGGTACCATCATCGACTCTACGGATGCAGTAGTCAAGCACTGGCAAACGTGAGTAACCTACAGTATAGTACATACAAAGCATGCACAACCCGGCGACTAACTCGTTGTAGCATTGGCAACGAGATCGGCGTTGCACCCGAAGTCATCCTTGAGACCTCCCATGGACGACGAAGCATCGACATTCTCAAGATTCTTGCACCGGAAAAGGCCAATTGGGAATGTGAGTACAGTACACGCATCAAACAAACAAACAAACAAACATGCATGACCGTCAATAAGCCCAATGGCGGACGAAAACATGTCGCCAGATGGTTATATTACTCAACTATGACCTGGCAGTCATACCCGCCGCCAACTTGTTGGCAAGGCTGGCCGTGCGTTGGCTGGACCGAGCAACCGCTGATCATTTCCGTAGATGTACGTGACATGGAAGGACGTCTTCCCAAGTACCATGGCCACGAGGCCGTCGAGATACCGGGCGCCCGTTCCATGCTAGAAGCTCTCATCGCCAGATCTAGCCCCTGGGCGATCGTCACATCAGGCACTGAACCTCTTGTGACTGGGTGGTTGCACGCTCGAGACCTGCCCACACCGCCGCCGGAGCACCTCGTCACTGCAGAGTCCGTTGAGAACGGCAAACCTGACCCCGCCTGCTATCGCCTTGGCCGTGAGCGTCTCGGCCTACAGGCGGAGGATGCCCAGATTCTGGTACTCGAAGACAGCCCAGCAGGGATCCGTGCAGGAAAGGCAGCTGGGTGCAAGGTCCTCGGCTTGGTGACAAGCCATACAGTCGAGCAGGTCGTCGCCGCGGAGCCAGACTGGGTGGTTCGAGACCTCTCTTCAGTCAAGGTGCTTCGGAGCGAGGGCGGCAAGGTGACCATCGAAATCTCCAATGCTCTCCGACTATGATCGGGGCCCTCGTGGATGTGGGTTCGGCAACAGAGAACAGATCAGGGCAGTAGGGCACTGTCGGAAGTGAGAGGGAGGGATACTGTAGAACCGTGGAGATAATCACGAGATTTCATCATCATGATAGAAGATTCAATAGATAGATCTAGGATGAGACTGGGATTGTTCCCTGGAGAAAGATAGGCGAAAGATCGTCACCCTCGAAAGCAATTTTGACATCATCACTCAGCTTCTCCCTTGGCTCAGTTGTTGACCTCATTTCCTTTGTCACTCCCTAGAGATCTTCATAGCGATCTGACCCACGATGATCGACACGCCAAGGCAGTACAATTGGCGGACGACATGCATATGAGACCCAGTGAAGATGTTTATGTTGCGTCGCGACAATCATTGCCACAAGAAAAAAGAGAACAGGGGAGACTCTTGGTCTTGGGATATCGCGATCTTCTGTCACGTCTTGGAGAGCGAAACAAGACAAGACACAACACGACACAACACAACACAACAATAATGCTCGTCGCCGATATTATTATTACCGCACCCTCTCACACAAACACACAAACAATCTCCACTTGGTAACCATTCAAGTGAGACCTTTCTCAGAGCCACCACAAGACAACTGAGACGTCTCTGGCTCTCCTTTGTCTTTTCAGACATTATCCATTATTTCTCGGCATCTATGATCCATCTCCTCTCACGTACACAGTACGGTAGAGAACAATCACCGCCAAGCGCGGTCAGGGCCCCCGAAAAAAAAAAAAGATACTAAAAAATGTCTCGGTTTGGCACCTGTCATCGTACCGTTTCCTCCAGTCCAGCCTAGTAGTAGTTCAAGGGCAACGTTCATAGAGTCCGTCGTCCGTTGAAGCGGGGACAATGGTAATTTCTTACTCTACACATGGAGCAGAGTTGACGTGATAACGTTGTACTGTACCATGTGGGCAAAGACGCCAGTGTCAAGTTTCTTCCACTTTGGCTCTCGCCCTACTAACTCAACTTACTGTCAGAGTCAGAGCCCACCGAGTCAAGGAGACCCAAAGCCCCCCTTGCCCCTGACGCGTCCTGCAGCGCAAAGGGTTGAAGAACCTGCAAAACCGCCGGCGTCTCAAGGAAGAAGACTTGCGGCGGTATCAATTCGGCGGAGTTCCTTTTCTTTTGTGGTCTCGTCCTGTCTATTTGTTGTTGTATAGGTCCAAGTGGGCCAACCAACTTTGACATGACTGAAGCAATCTGGTTCACCTCGAGGAGCACTCACTTTGTACCACACCGAGTTGGAAATGGAGAGGTTTACCAAGTTGACGGTAACAAGAATAGCATCAAGTCAGCCTGTCAGGTCTAGGTTCAGGTCGAGGTCGTACAGGTAGGCGTCGTCAACTCGTTGCACGACAGGCCAGACTTGTCGTGATATCCACAAGTCAGTCGGAACGAAACACCTTAACCACAGCGGATATTTGATCAAGCCAGGTTCATCTACCAACAGATGCTGTGTTTTCGTGCCATCCCAAAGCTACGGGCGAGTGCTGCAAGGTCCCGAACGCCAGTGTCACTGTGCTGCAATGTCCTTGTCCTTGTCCTTCTCGTAAAGGGGCGGGTAGTGACATGGAGGCTGATTTGCATTACAATTAATACCTCCACATACATGGAACACAATACAGCACGATACAGTCGAGCCGAAGGGAGTGGTGATTGCGAACTGCCAACAGTCGAGAGAATCCATGGTGTTGCGATTACGACTCGCGGCCCCCCTTGCAAATATCATGTCCCACCTAAGATAGCTAGAACAGGGGGGAAGGCTTTTTAAGGGACCTTCTGCCATCGGCATCCCACGCTGGAAACATGGGAAGATCTTCCGGGAGGATTTATCGCGATTTCGACCTAACCACGTTGTCGGAGAAGGCCGCCAAGATACTATAGTAATAGAGTAGTATCCGTAGAGTCGAGGTACATACATACCCAGGGTACCCGGCAGGCAAAGTTCAGCCCGTAGGTAGCGACAAGCATGAGCCCAGTCACGGATCGATTCTTTTGTCCGGCAAAAACTGTTCTCCTCCTCCTCCAGATCCGTGGGCCGAGCACCGGTCCCCTGGAAATTCTTCGACCGCCCAATGCAGACGCCCTCTCGATTTGGATCTTAGTCCGTGATGGTGGCTGGCTCAAATGAGATTGGAGCCCCTCTAGGCTTAAATCGTTGCATGCAGCCACATGAGACAGTCCAGAATGCTAAATCCGCCTTTCTTTGTTGTTTCGCGTTTTTTCGTTCTCGAATTTTTCAAATTAGCTGGTCGCCAGGAGAAGAAGAAGAAAACATGACAACGGATAAACCAGTCCTCAATTGTATGCATTTCCATCCCCATCTCCTTAATCTTGCAGCATGAGACGAGACGGTGAAGGCCTTGTTGACAGTAGCGCGTTTCAAATCAAATGCTGTTCTGGCACCTGTTAAGAACGAACAAGAAACCATTAGATACCTATTCATATCAACAATGCGAGATATTTGAAAAAAAGAGTAGTGGCAGTACAGTATAGCATGTACCTACATAGTTTCTCTCTGCCATTATGAATATAGTACATATCCATATGCGTTTGACACAGCATTGCCCGTATCAATAAAACTCACCATAATCAAGCACGAGGGATTCAAATCTCCTGCCGTGGCATCAATATAATACAATGAATCGTACCTCTCTCTATCAAATGCTTACAATACATCTGACAAAGGCTTGGCTGAGGCCCACCAGAAGCTCTAGCTGTTATTGCCGGAGAACGACCAAGCTCACGTCCCTAGTCAGGGCAGGGCAGGGCAGACCAGTACTTGAAAGCTTGTCTTAGCTTGCAACACCCACCAAACATCTAGTGTCGTTGCGTAAAGGTCAAGTTGAGAATGGAGTATGTATGACTTCCGTTGGGCTCACGTCTAAGTCAATAACACGCATGTTATAAGGGTCATACCACGAGTGTAGTCGTTGAGCATTGACTGAACTTGCTTTTTTCCCTTGATACAGGCGGTTTCCTCAGCTTCTCATCCCATATAGA